ATGGACTGACTTCATTACAGCAGATATTAGCATCCACATTTTTCAAATGTTAGCCACTGCTGTGCTTACAGGCTAAATGAGCTTCTCTTTTAAGAAGAACTGACAAGGAAAACTACATGTTCTATGCAGAAGACTTGCTTTGAAATCTAAAAGGTCTTTATCATCATGAGTTAGGACCAAGTGACTCGACTGACCATAAGTTCTATCGGGGCAAAAAAGAAGTAATGCAAAAAACTAGTGTGTCTACAGCACTTATACGAACCAGGACCTTACTCAATCAACAGCAAAAGGGTCAACAGAGAGAGTGTGTGTGTGTGTGTGTGTGTGTGTGTGTGTGTGTGTGTGTGTGTGTGTGTGTGTGTGTGTGTGTGTGTGTGTGTGTGTGTGTGTGTGCAAATGAGTCTACTCCAAATCAGTTCACTACGTTTTCTGTCTGTGTTAAATATAAACATGTCTGTGCCTCTGCTTAAACATTAACACCTCTGTAAGCATTGCTCAAGGTTGTGCGCCACCTCTTCATCCCTCCACATCACCGCTCTGTCTCTGATCATCCCGCCTTTGTCTGAAACTGTATTTATCAAACATTTGCATCTTTACAGCTGTGGTCCTGATCACTATTTCACAGAGCAACTATAGTGTGTGTGTGTGTGTGTGTGTGTGTGTGTGTGTGTGTGTGTGTGTGTGTGTGTGTGTGTGTGTGTGTGTGTAGTTTAATTTATTTGGATCAGTTGAAAATCCTTCTGTGAAAATAACATCAATGGCTTATTAAACTGAAAACAAAATTATTAACTTTATGGGCAACAGTGTATCATATTGACATCTGACATGTAGACAGATGGAAGTGTAGTCTCAGGTAAGGTAAGGACAAAGTCAGGTCTCCTCAGTCCACTTCTTACTCCAGTCTGCAGTTCCTGATGCACCTGTTGCTCTGCAGGTGGATGGAGGTCTAAGCTGTGATTGGATGAGCTATGCATTCACATCTTCCATTCTTGGTTGGCTTTAATTACTTCAGCAACTGCATTACCTCCTTAATACAGCCATTTCGATCTGATATTTAGGACCCGAGCAGTGAAGGTGCCAGGGCCGGGATGTGGTACTGAACCATGGTACTGAGGGTGCAATGAACCTATTATTTTTCAGGGGCTTGGGATGCTCAAAAACTCATGAAAATGGGCACACACATCAGGTCTGCTAAAAATTGCATTATTATGTAGTGACTGGTGACCTCAGGTGTGGCCAGCAGACTCCATAGCACCCCCAAACACAAGGTCATGTTAGGATAAAGTTGCTTGGATGTTCACGAAACTCGGTTTGATCATTGAGCTCATCATTCTGGACATGATACATATATTTTTTTCTGACAGGAAGTACACCATTTTGGATTTCATGCATCAATTTTCATTTTACAAAGACATTTTTGAAGTCTTTAGGATGTGCAAAAGCTCACAAAACTTTACACCCATGTTCTAACTATGGAGTATTTCAATTTGATATTGCAATTGAGCATGGACATAGCATATCAGCTCTATAGTGCACCCTAATTACTTTTAGCATTTCTGAGGTGCTAGGGGTGCTAGAAACTCATGCAACAGGAAGTCAGCCATTTTGAATTTATTTCGAATTTTTAGTGTAATTTTTTGGCCATTTAGAGGGCTCATACTTTAATGAACTCCTAGAGAATTAATCAGAGCGGCATCATATGGGGTCAGTCTCAGCTAACGACATTTGTGATGCTAAATTGCAAAACTTTTGAGTTTCCATTGAGCGGTGTGTCTGTGGCGACAGGGTAACTTTCAATGTTATCACTCTGACATGGATGGTTTAGTCTGCCGCAAACTTCACATGTGTGACTCCTGGCCTGAAGACATCTACATGCCAATTTTGAGACATAATTGTAGCACCATCTCAGCTCAGTAAAAATATGACTTGCTTTCATGAAAACAAACTCACTTACGTACTATTTTGTGTTTGTTTATTTGTTTCAAGTCAAGGTAACTTAAAGCAGGTAGGCTACTTATAGTTCACATCTTGTGACTTGAAATGAGTTGAATGATGATCATCATCATCACAGCTGATAACCAGAAACCTTGAACCTGAAATTTGATAGCCAGATGTGTACCTGAAACTCCTTCCCTTTTGAATGAAATAATGTTAGTGGAAAGCAAATTTAATCCAAGCTGGTTTCTCAAGTTTCTTTAACTTAGAACAAATAAAGGACAAAGGATTGAAAATTGGGTCAGTTATCTCACATTTTCACACTTATATTTTGAAGTTAGTATAACTTGCTATTTTTCACTAATAATAATAGGCCTACCCATTGTATAATTTCTAAAAAAAAAAATCACACCTAGAAACTCATATAAACTTTGATTAAAGAAAAAGGTAATGAGAGAGAAGTTCATGGCAGTTAGACTGTTATTATGTAAATATTGTCTGCCTGAATGCCTGAAAATGAATCATGTTGTGGGGCATACACTGATAAACGTTTTTTGCCGACGGGGTAAAAACATAATCCACAAACTAGTTAAGCAATGTGCAATTTACGCACACACAGGGAGAACGGACGGCTTCCTATTCCTGCAAAAGCATTCTGATGACTGCATTCAGAGCAACAGATGACCTCTCACCACCCGACTCTTGGCCAATTTAGCCCTATATTATAGTCCCCAGTGGTTTGCGCATATATTATGGTTTTGCGCACGAAAACGCACGCATAAATTGGCTGCCTGTGATTGATTGTTAAGAATTGGATTACGCCAAAATTAACATCGCCCTTATGTATTGTCAAAGTGAAAATGACCCACCGACAAAATGACATGAATAAATGTATTTTCGCCCCTGCTCCTCCTTATGAGAAAATTGCATATCAATCTTAGGAGGACAAGAGACAAGCGCTTATTTTCACTTTGCGCCCTGGCCTCTGTCTGACACTGAAGGACATAAGAAACACCATTTCAGCTCTATAATAATGGAGCAGCGGGGTGTTTTGCGTCCAACATTGATTTGTCTTTTTGAGTCCTGCTGACGTAGGAGGATATAAAGCAGAGCGTAATTAATGTCATTTATCACTTGTTTGATTTGGTCACTGCAGGACGCTCATAGGCTACGCGAGCCATTAACCAATGGGAGAAGCAGAGTCTTTGTCACCGCGTACAGGCACGTGGCTTACACCTGCAGGCCTCAGTGTGTGTGTGTGAGAGAGAGAGAGAGAGAGAGAGAGAGAGAGAGAGAGAGAGAGAGAGAGACGGGGTGTGCATATGCGTGTACCACACTTTCAGGTGCAAAAAAGAGAAAGTATCCCACACGTCTTTCAGTGTTTTGAATGAGCTATGAGCTACTAAGAGCAGCTTCAATCAGCCTCTCTTGGTCCCAATTTTCTACTCCCCACGGAGAGCACCAGGTGAAATTAGACTAGTTATTTCTCGTTCTGCCTCGCTGAATTTGGCATCAGTGTTTATTTACAATGGAAGATCTTCCATAATTCGCATAATGAGGCGCAAAGGCGCACATAATAGTGCTCACAATGGGGTGTTGTGCCTCCTATTTCGCCAGGAGATAGGCTTTTTGATTGGGCTGTGTGTGCCATGAAAAACACAGTTGGGGATACAACTAGTCTACAACCCCGGGTTTTATTTAGATTGATCTCAATCGGGCAATAAGAATTTTGACCCGACTCATTGTCTTGCTGACTTTCCCCAGGCCGTATTTCAAAGTGTCTATACCCTTTGAGCGGAGTGAATTGCAACCCCCCTCCCTCCCTCTCTTCCCTCCGCTCCAGGCCCTCTGGGCTATTGGGTAAAAGCAGAGTATGCAAAAGAAACAATGCAATGCATGAAACGTAATATTAATCTCCCGGTCGTGAATGCAGACAAAGCGCTGTAGAAGGTGCAAGTCTATAATGGTTATTGAGTGCTCACCCAGCTGCGCAATTTTCCCCCGTGTGCCCAACCAAGTCGGGAAAAGGTCATGCAGGGGCTTTGAATAGAAGAGAAGCTCCCTAGTTTGCTCAATTACTGCCGCCACTAACACACACCCCTCTCTCCCTTACACACACGCACACACAAACACACACACACACACACACACACACACACACACACACACACTTGAGTATAAATGTATGCAATGTCATCTGAAGAACCAAACCACTGCAAAAGCATATAATATAAATAGATTCATATTTATTTATAAAACTTGTTTTACACAAAATATATCTGTTAAAATCAAATATTTACATTTTAGGCTACGGAAAATGGAGAACAAGTGCATACATTAATAAAGGTCTCCTTACCACCTATTAAAAAACAAAACAAAACAACTACAATCTGTCACAGGTAGTAGCCTTGATATTGCTGTCCAGTCACACAACTCATACATGCTAACTCAACTGCTTTTCTGACAGCTGGTTCTCAAAACACTGTCAGGAAAAGTGGCAGTGAATGTTGTTCAAGAACATTGTTTGTCTGACTCAATGTACAAAAATATGTCTTCATGGTAAAACATTTCGTTGTATGATAGGCTACAGTTTTGTTATGAAAGGAGGAGGGATGGGGGGTAATGTACATCACGTAAGAAAGTCTGTTGACGCATCATCTTTGTTGTGTCTTCCAACAGATGTGGCAGCAGAGGAAGGCAGTCCTGCTCTGATGAAACACTCATCAAACAAGTCCTCTGGAGCCACAGCACCGTCTCTACAGAGCCTGCTGCTGTGTCACGTATTAATTGCACTTATTCAAGCATGACATCAACAGTTCTTTACTTCCAGTGAGTCCAACTCCCTCTTTCTTGTGGGGACTTCAGGGCGACTATTTATGCTCTATGCAACAAGAGGCTCCCTCTCTCTCTCTCTCTCTCTCTCTCTCTCTCACTCTCTCTCTCTCTCTCTCTTTCTCACTATTGCTTTGCTCCTGCAGAAGCAGCCCGCGTGAGGGAGGGAGGCAACAGATCACTTCCAAGCACCGAGGGCGAGACGGATCTGACGCCTTCATCAAGTCTTTGTGAGCATTTCTGAAAGAAGTCAGCTGCTTTTACGCACAGACGCTGCTGTGTGGGGTTGACGCTGTCACTCTCAGTACCTGTCGAACCAGGTTGTAAAGTCCAACAGCTCCTGTTCCTCGGAGCTCAGAGGCTCGTAGCCACCTTCATCTGATGAGTAAGTGGAGTGAGGCGACTCCGGGTCGGCAGAGTAGCTGTTGGAAAGTGTTGGGGATGGCAGCCCGCACTGGAAAGCAGCCGACACGGCGTCATGTTCGTCCAGGAGTTGCTGTAAAGCCCTGATGTACTCCACCGCAGACCTCAGGGTCTCCACTTTGCTCATCTTCTTGTTGGCGGCACCATTGGGCACATGCTGACGCAGCGTCTGGAAACCCATGTTAACCTGTTTGACCCGGTTCCTCTCTCTTTCGTTCCGCCGGGCTACGGCCACGGGCTGCTGCTGAGGGATGGAGTAGCCGAGGCCATTGAAGCTCAGGCGCCGCTTGCAGCGCAGGAGCTCCGGCGAGCTGGAGCGCTGTCTCTTCAGCACCTTGGTTTTGCTTTGGTAGTCGGCAGCGCTGGTGTTGTTGGGGTGCACTGCGGGGACGGCGCAGTCCTGGGCCGGGGCGTGCAGGCTGATGCTGGCGCATCTTTCAGTAAGTCCAAAGGTGAATGCAGTCTGCGTGGTGGTGATGGTTGTAGTTTCCATCTCGCTGACAGTTGTTGACAGTTGTTGTGAAGTGATGGATGCAGGGGGCGAGTGCGGGGCCCAAAGAGTGTGGGACTAGAAGAGGAGGAAGAGCAGAGAGGGTTGGCAGTGCACAGCTCTCGTGTCCTTCGCGTGGGCACCGTGTGGCTAACTCTAGTCCAAGTCTCTCTTCACTGCTTACTCCACGAGCCGATCTGACCCAAACTTTGGCAGCACTCCTCTTTTTCAACACGCGCCCCAACCCACCCCTTTTTTTTTTTTTTTGGAGACGCACGCTTCGTGGCGAGGCCCCGCCCCCGCTGTGTGATTCTTCTGCACGCCGACTCCCCCGGGCCAGGCGCGTGGCTCCGGGAGCTCAATAAACAATCCCGAGCTTTCACTGCGCCGGGAGCACGCGCTGGGCTCATTTACATTCCAATGTCTCTAACTTGAAGGCCCATTGGTCGATTCAAACGGCCTGCAACCGTGCGAAAAGAAAGAAAGGAGGGGAAAAAAAGACAGAGAAGGAAGAAAAAAAGAAGAGAGAATGAAAAAGTGAATGGATTGGTTCTTTGAAATGCCTTTTGAATTTGACAATGTACCCCTGGCAAGTCTTCAAATTATCAGTCTTCCCCCCTCGGCCATCTTTCTCCTCTGGCTCTTTACAATCACAAATACCAAGGACGCTCTCTCCTGTATCTAGGCTACAGCTTTACACAACTAAATAAATTGCAAGCGTGTCTCTGAGCACAATAATTGGCACTTATAAAGCTTGCAAAGGGGCGCGCGTCAATTTAAGAGTAAACATCATGTTTATCACATGCAGGCGTCCGGATCAGCATATTGCAGTTACCTCTCACCTCAGTTCCCCGCAGGTCCACTTTGTTGGCACATGTTTGACGGGTTATCTCTGCAAAGTCTTGTTCAATCCTGTAGGCTCTTAAACTCCTTTCTCTGCTGTATATTCTCTTTTTTACGTTCATGGGGACCACACAGTGAAAGCCAAACCCAGTGCATTTCAGCACCACATCTGACCGGACAGTTAAACACATCTTCCTCCTCTAGTTTTGCATTTGTACCGATTTAAGTCGCATTACGTTTTTTTTTTTAATTCAGACTTAGTTTAATTGAGTATTGTCAAAAGCTCTTCGAAAAACGTTTTGATTGTGGAAAAGTCTCATTACCAGCAAACTCCAGCAGAGCAATAGTGTGTTGAGACGTGAAGTCAGTCGCACATATAATACATATGGGACACTTGCGGCCTCTGGCGGCTAATAAAAGCAATTACTTCCTGCAACTCAAGTTTTGTGCTTTCTTCTGATCTGTTTAATTCATGGAGAGGTGGATTCCCTGACAGCCGGATGTGAATCATTTCTTTCTCTGGGCTGAGACTGCTCTTGACTATGATAAGTCCATATGAGTTCACAGGACACCATAAACTCATATAAACAAGAGTGCTAAAATAAAGAGAAAACTTTCAGACTTCATTCTTCAGACTTTCAGTGTTCACAACAAAATTATAAATCATTTAAAATACTGTATAACACTAGAGATCAGAGTAAATACTAATTTGATCATCTAGCTTGGCCTCTTTTCCCAGCTTTTGAGGCAATCACTCCAATTTGTGATCACTCCAATTTGTGATCATCTTACCATCCCTCAGCTGTGGCTTCTATAAGGGTCGGTGCATGAAGTGTTATTCTTTTGCAGTTGTTCACTTTGTATAAATGAAAAATGCCATCTTATTGCCTAATTTCATTGTCCTTCTTGTGCAAGTGCAAATGTATGTGGAAGTTGCCAATGAACACTGGAATTAATACACAATTCAGGTATGTAGTTATTCATCAATTTATTAATTTGATTAAGGTTACTTAATCTGTTACTTTGGGTGAATATTAAAGGCTACTTATATGTGAAAAGTGAGCATGTCACACGCACACACACGCACACACACACACTTAATTGCTGTGTGCAGGTTACCGTTTATTGTCATTTCTAAAAGGTATTGAGGAGAAAGAGAGGTGAGGGGGTCAGCTTGATATATGGCTGGAACATAAAAGGCTTAGGGCTTGTTGCACAGCTTAACCCAACCAAAATGACTAAGGAACAATGTTGAGTCTGTGTAAATAATGTGGCAACCTAATAAAAGTAGACTGCTAAAACATCTCAGTGATATGTAATATAGTAGACAGTTGACAAATTAAAGAAAAAAACAAGATAAAGTGTAGTAAGGTTAGTAAGGTGTTGAACCAAAACAGCTTCAGTGGTTGTTAAACTGGGTTGAGATCTGGTGACTGTGAAGGCAACAGCATATGATTCACATAATTGTCATCCACAAACCATTCAGTGACCCTTCGTGTCCTATGGATGGAGACACTGTCATGTGGTTTCTCCACTCAGTCTTCAGGTTTTAATTTGTCACCATCTGTATATTCACATACGTTCCATTTCCAAGGTCAGGGATACACTGTCACTTCTGTTAACTCTTTATCTACATATAGTATGTAGTGTATGTAATAGATACTGTATGCAAATATGTGAATTTAATATGTCTGTAAGTCATGAGAACAAGGTTTTTCATGATGGTTCTGAGCTGTATGTATGATGCACATGTGATCAGCTGATGCAGCTGTCATTGTCCTCTCAGACTGAGGCTGCAGACTGGTCCAGCAGCAGCACAGCTGTCACTGTGTGGATTATATGTTGTCATTAGATATTTAGCAATGTTGGACATCCTGAGCTTAATGATCCACACCAGCATCAGCAAACACATCTTATTACAGCACTAATTCAAACGTCCACTGCTCTTATACAAACTTCACGTGAGTGTGTGTATATCATATAGATAATAACAACAGGCAGAAAAGAGCAGAGTTGAAAGAGAGCAGAAAAGTTCTCATAACAAGATGACTGATGTATTTTGGGTATAATTCATGAGTTGATTGTCAACTGATTTCTGTCATTCACATAAAATATGTTAATGTTGAGTTTTCATTGTATTGACTGTTGAACCCTGAAAGTGTAATCAGTATGAGTAAACCACATGGTCTTTTATTGATAAATTACAATTACATGTTATTGCCCTCATACATGTCACAAGTCATGAAATGCAAAATGAATCATCAATAATAATAATAATGCTTTCAAACAAAGTGCAGATTTAGAAATATTTGCAAAGACAATAATGTAATATAATATTCTAGGAGCCATCTGTTAGCTCTGTATTTATGGTTGTTTATATGTGTAGTCTAGGTCAAGCCAATAACGGGTGGTAGTGTAGAGTAATGGGACAGGTGGAGTCTATATGTGGCACAGGTCCAACAGACCAGCTAATGATGAATGGGTGACGGGGAGATCTCACGGTTTTTACCGCTGTCATGCTGGGCACACAAAAGCTGAGCCAGCCATCGTACCATTTCATTACTTTTATTTCTATATAAAAAAGTAATTTACTGTGAACTAAGTTCTTGACTGATCAAAAATGAATTTTGTTTACATGAAATGATAATGCACAATATACCTAATCATAAGCTATGACATACACTCATGTACCTGGGATGAACTGGTATAGCTGCACACCTGGTGGGTCCTGAATGCACCATAGGTGGTACCTCTGTGTACTCCAAAAGTGCTTGATACAGAGGGAATCAAGCAATGGGACATCCAGGTTGATGTGAGATCCTGGATGAGGAGGGCCGTCTCCTCTGCCCCATGTGTCCTCCTCTGAGAGAGGAGCCTCCACTCCTCCCATGAGATCCTCTGGATCAACTTGGCATCAGTCAGGGCGAACATCCTGTGCTTCCATCTAGCTAGGACCAATACGCCTATATGAGACAGCAGGTACATCCAGGGTCCACCTCAAAGATGTGGCCTCATTAATCCGGCTGCCATCCTGTAAAGGCCCTCAGAGCCCTCGGGGCAGGTGAGCAATAAGCCCCTGGCCTGTACATGATACCAACATTGGTAACCCAGGTAGCCGTGTGATAAGCAGCACCAGTGAGCTGTGTGTGTAGGTGATGTGGGTGCGGTTTCCCCTACCTGGCTCTGGAGAGTACCACACCTGCATACCATTACTTCATCAACCACTGTACAAATACTCCGGCCTTTTATCCACTCATCGCCAAATTGTTCAGCAACCACAGTGGTAGCAAGTGCTCTGCAACTTGTCATTTTTTAACATGTTTTTCATATTCCTGACACCCTTATGCTTACACCTATTTTTCGCTCTGTGTCCCAGGATTGAGAAGTGTGAGAACAAACCAAAGGGATTTGATATACTAACATCAAAATAAACATGACTTGAGGAATTATAATGAAATAAACTCACTCAACACACTCAAGATAAAGGTAAAATGACAGAGGGAACCAACTCAGCTGAAGTGCAAACACAGAATGAACTCAGGACACAGAACAAAGAACACTCTAGGCACCTGTATGACCTGCCCAGTTAGCACACCTGTTCTCTTGCTGCTCTTCAGCCCAGCAGTCATGTGACCCCACTTCCAACAGTATGCCTTTATTATCTGTGTAAAAATTTATAAAAATGCCCAAAATAAGAGATTAAGTAACCTTAATCAAATTAATAAATTGATGAATAGCTACATGAATTACAAGACCCCATAATAATTCCAGTGTTCATTGGCAATTCATTCCCAATCAGTTGTGGGCTAGCGGAAAAAAACCGTTATGAATGATGTTCATTATATGAACAGGTTATTTATTTATCTTAGCTCTCTTTAAATCGATGGCTGCAGCCAGCACGTTTGTTCAAAACGCGCAACCTTTACTTTGAAGACGAGCTGTCTCTGTTTCCGGCTCTCCACTTCCTTGTTCAATTTCCATGAGACAAGTTGGATAATGGAACAAACTAACGTTGTGGTGTGCACGTCTTCATTCTGTGGGACAACAACACACGCAAAACGTTAACAGCGTTTAGGCAGCATCAGCTAATGAGTTCACAAACGTCAACATACATTTGCACTTAGCACAAATATGACAATGAAATTAGGCAATACCCCCTAAGCTTGCATTTGTCATTGTACAACGTGAACAACTGCAGAAGAATTATACTTAATGCACGGATCTGGGACTCAAATAAACCTTCATTCCTGAATTTAAAATTAAAATCTCCCGTGATGTGCGGGCACATAAGCCAGAGAGTGAACTAAAAATACTGCACAACCCTAACAGCTATTATCACAGACAATACTCACTTGTGTTGGCATGAAATATGTTTTTTGTAAAGGCAGCCAGCAGCTGGTGCTCCAGTCTGCACACAGTGTGTACCTCTGTTGTGTGCTTTTCTGGGTGGAGACGGAGGTCCTCCTCCAAAAAACAGTAAGAGGATAGACAACACAAAGTCATTCCCCACCACCAGAAGCAGTAGACGAATTATCACAGGCGTTGGAACCTGAAAATCGTTCTGCTCTGGTAGTTTTATGTGCCACACATACCGTGCCGTAGTGGACTAGTTTGTTCACGTTACAAATCAAGGTGAGTGCTGAATTAGTTGGTTGTTGTTGTTGTTGTTGTGCAGTTTGTGTAATGAGAGTCAGCCACGAAAACTTCTGCACAACCACTGGCGTCGCTTATGAAAAACTGAAACATATTATCTTGTAAACCAGCTTCAAAGCAAATAGCAAATAATCTGCTCATGGACTGAGAACAAAACGAACTCAAAGTGAGGCGTGATCATCACATACAAGCCCAGACATTTTTGTTGTTGTGTTAGAGAGTTAAATTTGAACAGGAACTCGACAACTTCAGTGTCCGCGGCTGTTGGAGTTTAACCACCTGTAAGTTAATGTTAGCTTATGTTAACGTAAAGTTAGTGTTAGCCTAAGTTAAGATAAGGTTAACGTTAGTCTAAGTTAACGTAAAATTAGCGCAGTGAGCTAAAGAAATGCTGTACGTTAGCTACTTAGCTCAGGCTAGGCCTTTAGCCAACTAACTTCTTACTTTTATAAATATGTTTAATTTGAAACCTTCATTTCACGGGGTGTGTAATGTTGTGTACCCATCAGTCACTTTTCCTTTCGTGATCTTTGACTTTACTATGCTTTGGTCTGGGCAGATTTCAAAACAGCATGCAACTTTTAAAACTCAAATTCAACTCTCAGATAAAATGTAAAGCTTAGTTCTCAGCTTTGTGGGATCATTTCTATTTTGTGAATATGGAGTAATTACAAAACAAAATACAGTACGGAAGCTGTTAATAATACTACTTAAAACTTAGGGCATCAGTTTAAGTTTAGAAAATCTGTCTCTGCTATGTGTATTTTAACTTGTTGTACAGCTGTGTGAAAGACTGTGAACAGGTCTGCCTTGTTTTGGGATCAGCAGCAACACCCAAAGCAAGCTCCTTTTATTTTCTTAACGCTGTGTACTTGTTACAGCCCCGTTCCTAACATTTACACAGTTAGGGCCAGTTTGTCACATATAAAACACTTTGTCTTTCTGGAATAAATGCTTTTAATAACATATATAATATGCAACCATGTCACAATCACATTGCATTTGAAAGTCAAAGCCACTCATGTATCAGGTAGAATGAGGTGAGACTATTAACTGGTGTGTGAAATACTTCAATAAAAAACTTGTAAGGATGCCAGGGAGAAAATTATTTTGGGTATCAGCATCGTTGTTAGATGTAATTTCCCTACAGATCCCTGTACTTAACTGTATTTGTGTTTATTATGCATGACAGTCTTTTTTGGTAATTGAGTCTGTCATTTACTTTCCCAGAGACATGAGTCAGGCAGAGCAGGTGCCTGAGGACGTGCCTGCATACCTAGAAGATGAGCCAGTAGCTACAGGTAAGTAAAGTTTAATTGCAAAATTCTTTTGTAACCTAGATTTAGCACAAATTATAATCAGAAATGTTCTGATCTCTGTTGAATTAGTGTTTTGAGAGATTTTAGTTGTCTTACTTTTGAATGGCACCACAAGTGTAAATATGTTAAAACCCTGCACTTTTTGACAGTTTTCAGCTTAGTTGGTTATAAAACTCAACAAAACTAAAGGTGCATCCCAAACTTGTGTAAAAGGTAAATTAATGATTCCATGTTTTTGAAAGATCTTTTTTACTTGAATGCTTTCCTCTTCAGTTACCAAACGTCAAGTGTATTGTAATCATTGTGCAAGCATCTAATCTACATTAAGACAAACAAGAGGAAACTGTGTCATGTAATGCTGAAAAGAGTAGCTGTTCCATAGCAATTTTGATGATTAAGTAATCATTTAAGTCATTTTAAAAAAAATGATATTCTATATTTTTGTTATTGTCAGCAAATCCAATGAAAAATACAAAACCACCAATGAACTGATCGTTGTAACAAGTAGAATTTTTACTGTGTAGCTGATGCCTCATATGGCCTATTTCTCTGTCCCATAGATGTCCACTGTAGTTAAAAAAGAAAACACATGAATGAGCCACATTGTTACGCTGGGTTCCTTCTTTGCGATAAACACAGACACTTTAGTTTGTTTTGTGCACCATCCTCCTGCTGTAAATACTCACTGGCACACCAAATGTGTATTAAATTAAAATAGGCCCCAACAAATGATGACACAGAACGGGTAGAAACCTTAGAAAGTACTGAGAGACTGTTTTTTTTTGTTGGACAAGATTAACTAATTTCAAAATCATATGCATCAATCTAACATCATTATCATGGTTGGCATATTGTGTACTATTCATTTGTTAGGTGTCGTACCTCTGCCATAAAACAATCTGAGAAGGCCTCTGAGGAATATGACCAATCATTTGAATCTTAAAATTCAACTTTTGTTGTTTTAAATCAGACAACAACAAGGACCACCCACAGACACAGCCTGGCATGTTCGGCAGGTTGGCGGGGGGCTTGTACGGTGCCACCAAGGGAGCTCTTGGAGCTACGGTGGGCGGTGTGACCTGGATAGGAGGAAAGAGTCTGGACCTCACCAAGACCGCTGTCAGCTCTGTAGTCGCTGTGCCTGCCATGGGAGTGGGGCTGGTTAAAGGAGGAGTGTGTGCCGTAGCCGGAGGCGTGACTTCTGTCGGCTCTGCGGTGGTTAGCAAAGTTCCCATAGGAGGATGCAAAAAGAAGGACAAGTCTGACTGACGGAGAGAGGCGGAGAGTGAACGCACACAGCTGAGTTGTGTGAGCTCACACTGTGTTGTAGGATTCATGAACAGGAAAAGATCTAAAGAGGACTCAAAACTTCAGTGTACTGAACTCAGATACAGTTCAGTGTACACATTTTGGTGAGGGGTCTGTGCTTCATTTATTTCTTTTGTTTGTTTGTTTGTTTGTTTGTTTGTTCGTGTGTGTGTGTGTGTGCGTGCGTGCGTGCGTGCGTGCGTGCGTGCGTGCGTGTGTGTGTGTGTTGGTAAACCCACATTCATACAATTATGTGGCATGGACCTGCAAACCAAGAAGTAACAAAGACTGTCCGACTGTTAAAGGAAAACACACCAAACTATTATCACCTGTGCCTCAAATTGTTCAAAATGTCCATTTTTCATGTTTGATAATAAGCTACAATACTGTTTTCACTGAAAACTGTTGTACTTGTCACATTAGTTAACTTTAGAACAGCTCAGAGTGTAAATGTGCTTAAATTTCACTTGCAAGACAATCAGTGATCAATGATGATCTATAACTGGCATGATATGTTTCTTGAGGATCAGAAATATTTCACACTCCAGTTAATCACTTTTGTTCACAAATGAACAAATAAGTCTGATCAAAGACGTGATTTGAAAAGAACAATCCAGTTTCATATCTAAATCACTTGCTGGCTGTGGGTATTTGTGGGAATTATTGGGACAGTTTCAGTTTTCCTTTGAATTATGTTGCCCTCTGGCTTTTATTTTGTCAGCTCTATGGAAGGCAACTCGTGGGCTACTGTTTATACAGAATCCAATTCACTAAAATAAATATTGTGACACAATATGAAAGTTAGAAGATTATGATTACAGTGAACTTTATTTCCAGTTACAGTGTTAACTGATTCACTGTGACTATGCTAGTTGAGTTTGTTGAATCACATTTTACGCATTACACTTCTTTTGACTAACTATATGTTTTGTTAGTTACTGTGACATGTTGGTTAACATTGTTCTCAGATCAAAGTCTCTTAACATGTCTCCTTGGAAAAATAAAACTGCCATAGACGCTTGATGATGCCATAAATCTCTGCTACTGTACCAAAGAAGTTTAGTTCTCGACCCTAACATTTCTCTAATGCTCTTCCATGTTGCTTAGAGTCACTGTTTACTGTTGTAGCAATTTGATGGCTGGATTTGTGGATGATACAGTCTATATTTCAAGTGTCAGCTACATTTTAAGATGACAAACCTGTGAAAGTACATTTAAGAAAGATAATTAAAAACAATACCGTTTTTGTAAATGTAAAATGTCAAGGCAAGGCTTGATGGATGATTTTGTGGTTGTATCAGTGTTTTATCAGCTTGTCCAAATAAAACATATGCTGAAGGTTGTGTGTGTACTGTATTGTTTTCTGTAAGTTACTAAAGTAGACTTACAAAAACACTTTATATGAAACTACTGTAAAAAAAATTTTTTCTTCTCCTGAATTACCGTAACATTAAAAATTTTGGTTCAATAGTAAGTCCAAAGTATTTACACACATTTTATTTCAGAACCTGATCTGCATCTTCAAACCTCAATTTGTAAATTTGTAAATGTATTTATATTTTGTAGACTAACATTTATTGTTTAAAACAGCTTTAGAATCAATCAAAATATCTATTTTTTTTTATTGCAGTTGAAGATTGTTGAAGTAATGTTGAAAATAATTTTTCTACAGCCAATACTAAAGTGATATTTAATTTGAATTTTTTCAGTACTGTTTGTTTGTGTCTTGGTTGTACAAAAACCTCTACCATATATATTTCATCATGTTAACTGTAATCTTAATCTATCTGTAAATATAAAACTTTTTTAACAGTGTTCTCTCCTCAACTTTAGAAAATAATTCAACTTGAGATTTATGCAAAACAAAAAGATCAGTAGACTGTGAAAAATATTAGTGGGAGAGGAATTTAAAATATTTCATTTTTGAAATGAAATTAAGTGGTGCACAGTTGATAATGTCTGCGATACTGTATTCAGCACACTATTTATTTGAAATAGTGAGGTACAATCTGTTTTAATGGAGAACTGTTTATACTAAATACTACATCCAATTAATACTACAAAAAATATGTAAATGCATTTATAATCAAAAATAAGGATACAGCCCTTTTATATTCCTTCTGAAAATTAGACTTTATCCCTAAATGTTTGGATATTGTTAATACACCATGTCATTATTGGTTAAGTCTGCTGACCAGGTGACACAAATACAGTACTGGTAAGATTACATGAATTTTTATTTTTTATCAGTTTTACATTTATAATAAATTAATTCTGAGATTACATCAAGACAACTACATCAAATGGAATTGCTACCATTTGCTAGTTACAGTAAACATTCATAGAAAAACATATTGTATTTTTGTTTTAGGAGAGTCATTTTAAAACCATAAGTTAAACATTGCTGCCAGCGCTTCCTGTATGTTAGAATGTCACTGACAATTAATAAATAAAATTATAAATAAAATTATATTATCTACAAAAATAATCAGAAAGTATATACAGCATATAAAAGCCAATATTTTTTAATATAAATTTGACTTCAATAGGGGGTCCAGTTCATGCTTTTGACACTTTGACACTTAAGATGTTTGGCATACATTACAATATATGTCAGTTTGAACTTTCACCATGAATAACTGAACCATGTTAATGCTACAGATGTTTTACTAAATGTTTTCAGCCAAATTCTTAAGCTAGGCGCTCTGTGCTGGTTGCTGCACAATGTTCACAGGCCCAACAGAAGCCACAACCTTTGGCTCAGCCGTCCTCTGGTCCACAGCCTGGACATCTCTCCCTACACACAGATAAACAAAGATGGTTAGATTTAAGAGCATATTCCTCCTGAATTCTGCAGATTATAAATTCATTTCTTACTTTTTCTGAAGCATGATGGTTCACAGGAGCGGCCCAGAGCAGCAGTGCACACAGCTGTGCTACAGTGAATGTACACCTGAACAAGATCAACAATGTTGGCAGGGCATTACAAAAATATTTTGCTGCAGCAGTTTCTCATCACTTGATATATTCATTACCTGCTCCTTCAGGGGCACTAATGAGCTGGGGTCCACGAAGGTAAACATTTTGAAAATGAAACGCCTGTAGTGACTTGGGAAGGCCAGACCAGAGGAGTGACCGACTGGAACCAGTGAGGACAAGTAGCGATCATCCCTGTATGGACACCTGTATGGAGAGCAAATTAAATCAAGGCAACAGCAGTGAAATTCAACTGACCGAAGAAGTCAGTGTTTGGTATTCATTTCCCTATTCACTGTTCCTTGTGAGCAGACCTGACCAAAGTTTAAACTAAACTTAAACATGTTGTGTGTAAATTACATGTGTAAATTGGTGTTTTAGTTACCCATCGATCAGAATGTCCCACTGGGGCAGACTATGAGGGTTGGAGCTTGTGGTTGTCCAACAGCGACCAAGAGTCAGGACAAGGTTTGGATCTGTCTTTTCAAGGAGTTGAACCTCCACGTACACAGGGTCCCTCAGTACTTTGGTCACAGGGTAGTCTGCCTCCGTGTAGAAAGAGCTGTAGGCCACATCCACTGTAAGAGCAGAGTTACTTGTTAATATGACGACCAACATTATGAAATGATTTATAAATGCAGCAACACTGCCTGGCTGACACACACTTACATTCATTACAACCCTTTGTGTGGCATTGCCCATTAGCCAACATCAGGTGTACTCGGATGGGTCCCCAAGCAGCAGCTGGTAGAGGAGGATCTTGCAACGGTAATACCTCTGCAACCATAGTTTCAACAGAAGTGCCGATGTACCTACACTGGAAGAGCAATCTGCCAAGAGAAAATTGGCATTATGTTGTCTTAACTTTTATGTTGTGTTTTTGTTTGTTCTTAATTTTAACACTGTAATGCTCTAAAAAATGATCACCTACTCATAGTAGCTGTCCCTGGTAACGGCTCCACGGTCGCCAACTCCTACTTCATATGAGGAGGACATCCTGTTCTCATAGATTATTACACCAGGCTCCTCCTACAAAAGACAAGACAAAATGGCATTTTAGGGTGAAACCATGCACAAGCCTAATTTATAGCTGTTTTCATTTGTTGAAAATAAATACAGAATAGATGTTAGAAAATCAAGGTCTTACCATAATAACAGAGCCACAGGCGGTAACAGGAAACTGGTAGATGGCAAAGTCTGAATTAGAGTCAACGTGTGTGCAGCCCTGACCTTCCCCCAGCAGAGCGACTGACTCAAGGTCAATGTTGGGCAGAGTGGCATCTCTGGCCACTACCACAATAAACTGGGCATCCTTGGTGCACTGGACGGTCACTAGTGGCACAAATAGAGGCATTGATAAGTTGAGTGGTTAGATATTATTGATCAAATGTAAATAGCATAAACATCTTTTTACCATATTGTTTTGACTATAAAAGTGCTTAGAGTTTTTATATCCTCCATTGTAGTTTGCAGTAGTCTATTTAATCAATCAGTATAAGGCAAGCTGAAAAAAGTTAATGTGCTCTTTTTAAAGAGAATGATAGCCCTCAAAAACTCACCTGCTTTTCCAAAGTAGCAATGTCGGCCATCAAAACAGCAGTTTATGGCTTCACATCCTGCAGCAGAGATATCAGGACCTCCACATGTGATTCTCACGCTTTGTGCCACTTCACAACTCTGGGCAGGTGGTTGCTTTGGTATCTGTGGCACTGCAGGGTGCTGTGGTTGAGGGATCTTTGGCTCCTGGGGAGACTGATCATGGAATGCTTGAGGATATTTAGGAAACGTTGGTGGTGGAACAGGCAGAAGAACCTCAGGACGTGGATGAAACTTTGGCGTCTGAGCAGGCAGAAGAACCTCAGGACGTGGATGAAACTTTGGCGTCTGAGCAGGCAGAAGAACCTGTGGGCGTTCAAGAACCTTTGGCGTCTGAGCAGGCAGAAGAACCTCAGGACGTGGATGAAACTTTGGCGGCGGAGCTGGTTGGACCTTTGGCACTTGATTATATTGAGGAGTCTTTGGTGGTGGAGGGAGCAGAACCTGTGGAGGGTCAGGACGAGGAATCTTTGGTGCCTGAGGAGGTGGAGCACCCTTAGACATTGGTGCTGCAGCGTTCTGCCACATTGAGCCCTGAGCCTCTACAATTGTCCAAACAAAACTGCCAAGCAGTGCAAGTGCCACCAAAGAGGTGGCACTCAAACACTTTTCCATGGTTTCACAGCCGTCTAACCTTGGCAGTCCCCAAGTGTACCTCTTATGTGTGCTGCCACATTTATATGTGACCAGACTTGATGTTTAAAAAACCCCACCTCCAAGACCAAATAAACACCAATCAGGGCTTCCCATCTTTCACAAGACACCTATAAGCTTCAGGGGTGTATTGTGTATTATAGTGTTTGTTAGCCTTTTGGCAGCTTCACAAGATCAGTTGTATCGGTGGGACAAGAGGATGAAACACGTGTCCTATCAGATCAGGTCACTAAGGTGGATGACAGTTTGACATTAAATTATTTATTGACAAATCCAACGTTTGGGTCACAAAAACCTTTTCAAAGGTCTTTGCGGCCTGAAGCTGTATTTGTCACCAAATGTTTATTTTGCTAGTGTAAAATGGCGAACATACAGAATTGATTTTGTGATAAAGTTTGCCATAAAAATCACTTGAGCCCAAATCAGGTCAGGCTGTATTTTTACTTGGCTACTGTGTATTCTGTTAGGAACATATTCACTCATGCTTTTTACAACCATGTTGCAGTTTAGTGAGTTTTAAACCAAGAGTTTTAAATCAGCTGTAAGACAAACATGCTGCAATGGTTCCTCAATCTCTAGTCACGAAGACCTTTCTAAATATGCCTCTATACAGTATTGCATAATTATTACAGGGGGGCGGGTTATAAGAAGCACAGTGCTACAAATGAGGTAGAATAAAATAAAATAGAACATTCTAAATTGATTAAAATAATCAATAAAATAAAAATCAGGAGGATGACTTTGTACAATAATTGGTTTTTAAAAGCTTAAAGTAAATTCAAACCCCAAGCCCTGAGAAAGCACACCTATAAAAATGTGTCTTAAATAGGGATTTAAATGAGGATAAGGATCTCGCTTGTCTAATCTCCTCAGGCAGGTTGTTTCAAAGTGCTGCGGCCCTAACAGAAAAGCCTGGTTAACAAGTTGCCTGCAATGGGCTCCAGCTTCAACATTTATTATGTAGGCTGATTTGAGTGATAAGATAGTTAGCTAATAGTAGCTGACTACTAATTAAACACCTCGTCCCAGCTATTGCTAATAGTCAAACATAATGAATGCTTTTGAAATTATATCTAGCCGACTTTGTCATACAAAATAATACGTTTGATTTTACCAAGGTTTCAGACATGATTCAGTTTATGACTACATAGCTGGAAGTCATTGAGCCAACAAATTATCCTAAGTCTTAAAAACTAACATCAGTGCACATCTGGCCAAAGTTATTTAGCTAATAACAAATAGGCTTTTTGCCTGTTTAAGTCCAAACTCACAAATGACACATCAGACATAGGTCCTTTTGGTAATACTACAATAATCTGAATAAAGCACAATGTTTTTAAAATGTAATTAATCACACATATTGAGAAAAATATGACCTTGTATGCAGAGATTTTAAACTTCTGATTAAAACAATAAGTGTGATAACATTTAGTGAATGAAATCAAAGTCTTACAGTATTGATTCTTTTTTCTGGGAGTATTATGGAAACAGGTCTCATACATTTTTCAGGAAAATGAACCTGTTTAGCACATACCTACATAGGATCAGAGGTGGAAAGTAAGAAAATTTGCTCAAGTACTATACTTATACTTTTTTGTATATATCAAGAAAGAGGACTGAGGCTCCATCAGAGGTGAAGAGAACTGAGTCCTCTTTCAAATTAACTCACAATGCAAAAACAACTCAGTATCTTTTCTGTTGGTCCACTTCAAGAGGGATGAGTTTGGTTTGTTTAAAAAGGACTTTATCTGGAAACACCCTAAAATTCTATTGCTTCTGACTGTCTCTCTGAGTCATCATTTCACAATTAAATATAGCCAATATCACAGCACAGTCTTTGTGTTTAACTTAGGGTGTGTTTGGTGATTTTGTCAACAACGTTATAAAATCAGGATCTTAGCAGCAGCTTGGAAATGATTTGAAAGTGACTGTTGGTTCACATGCAGTCTTAATGGGCCGTGTTAGAGTCACTGTTTCACTCGTTCTGTTGTCTGACAAAAGAAATAGCAAAACATTTAATGAGAATGGCTTTATTTGGAATTCAGTTGTGTTAAAATACTGTATATATGAGCACAGAGAGTAGGAGAGAAGCAAACACATAAAGGGCTGAAACTAGCTGACATTAGGCAGAATGCAAATTGTCTAACGCGGTTCAGCCATACACTATGTTTTGACGTGTTTTGTTACAATAATTACTTTTACTTTGGACAATTATAACAGCGTTTTGCCACTAATATGCTGCATTTTTACTAGCAAAAGTAAAATGTCCAATGCAGGACTTTTATTTGTGTTTTCATATTGCAGCACAACTGTATTTTTTTTTAACTTACTGCATATAGAGGGTCTTCCACCACTGTACAAAATAAATCTTTATTGATTGATTTTGCCAATATCATACTTTGGTTTACTGGTATACACTTGGTGTGTTTGCTGGCAAATAGGCTACTGTAAATACACATTGGTGAGATGACATGAATCTTGAGTGAAAATAGTCAGTTTCAAAGACTAAGGCCATGTCAGGACGGTTAGGGCCGATAGAAAACCAACAGCTCGTTTATGGTGAACATTTCGGCAAAAAAGAAATGAATGATAAATTGTTTCATTTGTATCTTTTATATCTATCAGACATTATAAACAAAGTTCAGTATTAATACCAACATTGAACATTTATTACTTCACTGATTCCAAACAATTAATCAAAAAGTCATGTGCTATAGTTTCAGTCCATCTGTTATATCTCCTGTGCATCTTGGAATGACCTGCATTTATTTAGGTACTCTTTTTCAATATAATGTAATCTAAATCAATACCATACATTCTTTGTGGAGCTTAAAATACCTTTTAATTGACATTTTTTGTTAAAACTGTGACAGACAGGAGTTGATTTAACAATATTATTATTTTCAATGCTGTAATTAGTTGTGGTATTGTGCTAGATTGTAATATATTGAGAGATGTTTCTAATTTTCTGTTTGCCTCCCTTATGTAAATGAAGGCTGGTAAAACAAAAGAAACACTTTAATTAATATACATACATACAAAGTGTCAACAAGCACTAAAAAATATGCAAAAATGATTTATTAAGGGTAATTGTATTGTATTGCATTAGACTGTTAAGGTGTTTGAAATAATCTGGTAAGCCATTGTGTTTTGTAAAATGATCTTTCAGAGCACATCATAGCCAACTTTCTTGAATAACCACTTGATGGCAGTAATTTGAGGATCCTCCTGCAGAACACTTTTGGCTCGTTACTAGTCATTTTGCAAATACAAACACAAATATGTACGATACATTGTCATTTTCATTTCATACCACAAATAACTGAGCCATGTTAATGCTACAGATGTTAATAAATGGTCTACTACTACTGGTTTACTAAATGTTCTCAGCCAAATTCTTAAGCTAGGCGCTCTGTGCTGGTTGCTGCACAATGTTCACAGGCCCAACAGAAGCCACAACCTTTGGCTCAGCCGTCCTCTGGTCCACAGCCTGGACATCTCTCCCTACACACAGATAAACAAAGATGGTTAGATTTAAGAGCATATTCCTCCTGAATTCTGCAGATTATAAATTCATTTCTTACTTTTTCTGAAGCATGATGGTTCACAGGAGCGGCCCAGAGCAGCAGTGCACACAGCTGCACTACAGTGAATGTACACCTGAACAAGAACAACAGTGTTGACAGGGCAATATGGACATATTTCATTGCAGCAGTTTCTCATCACTTGATATATTCATTACCTGCTCCTTCAGGGGCACTAATGAGCTGGGGTCCACGAAGGTAAACATTTTGAAAAGGAAACGCCTGTAGTGACTTGGGAAGGCCAGACCAGAGTGACTGACTGGAACCAGTGAGGACAAGTAGCGATCATCCCTGTATGGACACCTGTATGGAGAGCAAATTAAATCAAGGCAACAGCAGTGAAATTCAACTGACTGAAGAAGTCAGTGTTTGGTATTCATTTCCCTATTCACTGTTCCTTGTGAGCAGACCTGACCAAAGTTTAAACTAAACTTAAACATGTTGTGTGTAAATTACATGTGTAAATTGGTGTTTTAGTTACCCATCGATCAGAATGTCCCACTGGGGCAGACTATGAGGGTTGGAGCTTGTGGTTGTCCAACAGCGACCAAGAGTCAGGACAAGGTTTGGATCTGTCTTTTCAAGGAGTTGAACCTCCACGTACACAGGGTCCCTCAGTACTTTGGTCACAGGGTAGTCTGCCTCCGTGTAGAAAGAGCTGTAGGCCACATCCACTGTAAGAGCAGAGTTACTAGTTAATATGACGACCAACATTATGAAATGATTTATAAATGCAGCAACACTGCCAGGCTGACACACACTTACATTCATTACAACCCTTTGTGTGGCATTGCCCATTAGCCAACATCAGGTGTACTCGGATGGGTCCCCAAGCAGCAGCTGGTAGAGGAGGATCTTGCAACGGTAATACCTCTGTAACCACAGTTTCAACAGAAGTGCCGATGTACCTACACTGGAAGAGCAATCTGCCAAGAGAAAATTGGCATTATGTTGTTTTAACTTTTTTTTTTTTTTTAAGTATATTTTTTGGGCTTTTTTATGCCTTTATTCAATAGTACAGTAGAGAGACAGGAAATGGGGAGGCAGAGAGAGGGGGAATGACATGAAGCAAAGGCCGTCCGATGCGGGACTCACCCGGGGCCAACTGCAGCGAGGACTGTAGCCTCTACACATGGGGCGCCTGCTTAGATCACTACGCCACACGACGCCCCATGTTGTCTTAACTTTTATGTTGTGTTTTTGTTTGTTCTTAATTTTAACACTGTAATGCTCTAAAAAATGATCACCTACTCATAGTAGCTGTCCCTGGTAACGGCTCCACGGTCGCCAACTCCTACTTCATATGAGGAGGACATCCTGTTCTCATAGATTATTACACCAGGCTCCTCCTACAAAAGACAAGACAAAATGGCATTTTAGGGTGAAACCATGCACAAGCCTAATTTATAGCTGTTTTCATTTGTTGAAAATAAATACAGAATAGATGTTAGAAAATCAAGGTCTTACCATAATAACAGAGCCACAGGCGGTAACAGGAAACTGGTAGATGGCAAAGTCTGAATTAGAGTCAACGTGTGTGCAGCCCTGACCTCCCCCCAGCAGAGCGACTGACTCAAGGTCAATGTTGGGCAGAGTGGCATCTCTGGCCACTACCACAATAAACTGGGCATCCTTGGTGCACTGGACGGTCACTAGTGGCACAAATACAGGCATTGATAAGTTGAGTGGTTAGATATTATTAATCAAAGAAAATAAGTAACAAGACTACAGCCATGTAAGTGACTATTTGAGGGTTATATGTGGTATAGCTCTGTTAATATTATCATGCTAAGACGCTCATAATGACAATTTAAATATGTTGATGTTCACCATACTCAACAGCTTAGTTTAGCATGGCAGAATGCAAACATTTGGTAATTAGCACCAACTAAAGTACAGCTAAATCTGATGGGAATGACAGTTTTACAGGTATTGGACAAAATGAAATTTTCACCTGATGGTCAGAGCAGAATTTTATACAGCAAACGTTTATCAAAGTTAAACACATCAAAGAATAATTTTAATAATTTCTTGTATTGTGCTGAAGGATGCCAAATCAGGTGATATCTTGGCCTCATTAGTAAGGTAAGTGTAATATTATGAGTATGATACAAGGTAACTGAGGAAAAGGTTCTAAAAGCTTAACCAAAGTACTGCATCATATTTTTGAAAACAAATAATGGCAAATACATAAAGTTGAATGTACAATAAGATTTATGTCATCCATTGCTGATACAAATGATACAGTATTTACTGAATATAATCAGAGAGTAATAACAGCCAAAAACCCACCTGCTTTTCCGAAGTAGCACTGTCGCCCATCAAAGCAACAGCTAATGGCTTCACATCCAGCAGCAGATATATCAGCACTTCCACAGGGGACTCTCACATTTGGTGCCACCTCACAACTCTGAAAAGAAGGCTGCTTTGGACCAACGGGCTGGTAAATGGAAGGTTCCTGTGGAGATGTTGGTGGTTTCGGTTGCTGCGGATCATATGGTTGCTGTGGTAGAAGGACCTCTGGCTCCGACTTATAATTGGAGAATCCTCGAGGATGAAACTTTGGTGCTTGAGGAGATTGAGCACGCCTTGGTGGAAGAGGAGGTGGAAGAACCTGTGGTTGAGCAGGTCGGGTCTGGGGTATATTAGGATAAAGAGGAACCTTTGGCGGCGGAGGAGGTTGGATCTGTGGCGTGTGAGAATATTGTGGAATCTTTTGAGGCGGAGGAGGTTGGATCTGTGGCGCGTGAGAATATTGGGGAACCTTTTGAGGCGGAGGAGGTTGGATCTGTGGCGCGTGAGAATATTGTGGAACCCTTTGAGGCGGAGGAGGTTGGATCTGTGGCGCGTGAGAATATTGTGGAACCCTTTGAGGCGGAGGAGGTTGGATCTGTGGCGCGTGAGAATATTGTGGAACCCTTTGAGGCGGAGGAGGTTGGATCTGTGGCGCGTGAGAATATTGTGGAACCCTTTGAGGCGGAGGAGGTTGGATCTGTGGCGCGTGAGAATATTGGGGAACCTCTTGAGGCGGAGGAGGTTGGATCTGTGGCGTGTGAGAATATTGTGGAACCTTTTGAGGCGGAGGAGGTTGGATCTGTGGCGCGTGAGAATATTGTGGAACCCTTTGAGGCGGAGGAGGTTGGATCTGTGGCGGGTGAGAATATTGTGGAACCTTTTGAGGCGGAGGAGGTTGGACCTTTGGCACGTGAGAATATTGGGGAACCTTTTGAGGCGGAGGAGGTTGGATCTGTGGCACGTCAGAATATTGTGGAACCTTTGGAGGTGGAGGAGGTTGAATTTTTGGATAATGAGGAAATTGTGGTGAAGGAGGTGAAACCTGGGGTACTTGAGGTCGTGGAACAGCCTTTGGTGGTGAAGGAGGTGAAACCTGTGGTACTTGAGGACGTGGAACAGCCTTTGGTGGTAAAGGAGGTGAAACCTGTGGTACTTGAGGACGTGGAACAGCCTTTGGTGGTGAAGGAGGTGGAGGAACATATTGTTGATCACGATATGGAACAATCGGTGGTAACTGACCATGCTGAGGAGACCTTTGCGGTGGAGGAGGTTGTGCCTGTGCCATTTGATTGTACTGAGGAGCCCTCAGCGGTGGAGAAGGTTGGAACTGTGGAATTTGTTGGTATTGAGGAGTCTTCGGTGGTGGAGCAGGCTGATGGGTCTGTGGTGCCTGAGGAGGTGGAGCACCCTTAGACATTGGTGCTGCAGCTTTCTGCAACACTGAGCCCTGAGCCTCTACAATTGTCCCAACAAAGCTGCCAAGCAGTGCAAGTGCCACCAAAGAGGTGGCACTCAAACACTTTTCCATGGTTTCACAGCCGTCTAACCTTGGCAGTCCCCAAGTGTACCTCTTATGTGTGCTGCCACATTTATATGTGACCAGACTTGATGTTTAAAAAACCCCACCTCCAAGACCAAATAAACACCAATCAGGGCATTATGTAATGTTTGATAAGCCTTTGGCTGCTTCACAAGATCAGTTGTATGGGTGCAACATGGGGCTGAAACACGTGTTTTTCCTATCAGATCAGGTCACTGGCGTGGATGACAGTTTGACATTAAAATATATATTTGCAAGTCCAACATTTGGGTCACAAAAACCTTTTCAAAGGTCTTTGCAGCCTGAAGCTGTATTTGTCACCAAATGTTTATTTTGCTATTTTGTGTTTTTTTTTTTTTTTTTTTTTTTTTTTTTTTTTTTTTTTGCAAATGCACAATTACTTGATTTGGTTTAGGTAGCAATTTGTCTTACAGCTATAACTTAACAGTCAAAGGTTTAGATGACACTGAGACGGAGGACAAGACAGAACACTTGGGACATCTATATCCTCAGAATCTGTTTTGACATAATAGTTTTGACATACTATGCCAAATTGTAACTTCATTTTACCTACCGAAATAGACTGGTGGTTGCAGTAGCAGATAGATTTGCACTGTAAAAGGGGAGATTACTGGGCGTAACTCTAACCCTTGTAAAGAACAATAAATTAAATCTCTACAACCCTACTTAAAGAGTATATAACCTTTCTAAACAGGTACCTTTTAGGCTCCAAGTAGAAATTACAGAATTATATGGAATTTCCCTTGAATTTGAAAGACTCCCTGGTTTCGGTTGCTTTAAAGACATCATCATGAAACAAACTGACTGAGGGCATGTGGAACATGACTACAAGGAGGAAACAAAAATGTGACACCTGTTGCGGAACGGTTCATTTAATTCTCATTTTAATTTTGTGATGAGACCAGTGAAGTAACTGTCTATGACATGTAGCATAACAGTAGCCAAGCACTGAAAACTCAAAGTCAGAAAACTAATGTCTGTTACACATAAATATCTAATTGAAGTATGCTAACATTATCCAGCATAAGCAGCTGGTCATATCAGACCATGTAAGGCTGTACATGATCTGGTATGACCATGCAGCAAAGCTCCTGAGTGTACACGTAACTGTACAATAACTCCTTTTGCTCACAAAACAAACTGCCAACAATTGTCAGGTAAGTTTAACTGTAAAGCTAGAGATTTAAAAAAAAAAAAAAATTCCATGCAATACTTGTGTGTGACCATGTCGTGGAGCTATTTCCTTTCTCTCTGCTACAAGCGCCATGGATGCATTACAGATGGACTGCTATTGACACCTGCTAAATAAGGGCTAGATTTTTAATTTATTAACAGCAGACCAGCTGCAGAAATTGTCACCTTCATTTCAAGTCTTGATACCCTGATCAAGGGTGACACCTGACAGTTGTGTTAGTTTGACACTGACAATAGCCTATATGGGTGAAAGGATTATTTCCATGTTATGCCCCTTACTATTACATTTCAGAGAGATATGTAGTTTTTACTCTACATATATTTGAGAGGAGCTGCATAGATTATTTGGATTTTACATAGGTTATGTACAATTATATACAGTATTATTTTATATAGTCTGTATTTTTGTATTTTGTGTACATTCAGGTCTCTGAATGAGATAAAATTAATTTCAAATAAAAGGATATCTTGTAATGGTCAGACAATATAACAATAACGATTTCTTTTACTTTTGATACTATATTTTGTTGCTATTTAAGAACATTTTAAATGCAGGACGTTACTTAGAACTGAGTATTTTTCCATATTAGTTTTAGTACTTTTACTGCAGTAAAGGAACTGAATAGGCCTACCACTTCCACCAATGCAGGCTTTTGTTACACATTAGAGTAGTTTTACATGGTTTACATTCGGTTTTCCCTTTCAGCAGCTCAACCATGACGGCCTACATTTCCCACAATCCCAAGCCGCCGAATCCTCCGTGAATCAGTGCGTCCGCCGCGTCCGTTCGCTGACGAGAGGAGCGGGTCAGACAGTCATTGGGCTAAACTGTTATAAGTCTTAACGGCGAGGCAACGGGCGGACATGTCTCTATCATCCACACAGAGCTCCAGCACGAGCAGCCGGAGGAGGAGGCCGCCTGAGCATACGCAAGGTGAGCGGCAGAAGCTCGTGTTTGATGAAAAAACTTTTTTTGTAATAAAGCCGACTGTGTCTTTAACAGCACAGTAAACGCATTCTCCATTTCAAGTGTTAGCATGTTGTTTACATAGGCGTTATTTGCCGTGATGTTATTACGCGAATTAAAAGGGTCGGCTCAGTATTGACAGAGCTGTTGCATATCGCACAGTCACGTCGTATTGATTAACGAGGTGGTTCTCACAGTGTGTGCATGTGCATATGCCAATTCTGCCTCAGTCTGTGCCGAAATGTCAAGGTTATAAAAGTAACAAACCAGAAAATAGTGTATAGACCATCCCAGCTTCCCAGAGTCAAAGGTGATGGCTTGAAATTGCTTGTTTTTTTTCTAAACAACAGTCCCAAAACCCCAAATATATTGGATTTACAGTAGTATAACAGAGACAACAGCAAATTATATTTCGAGAAGCTGGAACCAGGGAATGTTTGACATTCTTTCTTGATAAGTAGCATAAAGGATAGCATAATTGATTATCAGAATAGTTTGTTGATTAACTAATTGATTAAGATAACAATTGTTTTAGTCCTCCAGACTTTCTTCTTCACTTTGTGTCAACATATCTAAAGTTTCAAACTGCTAAACCTGGAAGAGTCTAAATGAATTGAGGTATTGACTTAATTATTCATGCATATTTATGTATGTATGCATTTTTAAGTAATGATAAACAAAGGAACAAAAGGGCTATCTTTCATGTCTTCAGATGCTACTGATGAAACCAGTTATCTAGTGGTTACACTGAGAGGAAGTTATTAACTGTCAGAAACTTGACTTTTCTTTCCTGTCGTAAGATTTCACATTCATTATTAGCCTTAAAGTCTTCCTGCTCCACATCGAAGAACAAAGCTATGAGTCGTGAATCAAGACAATGCTGCCAAACCCCCTCTGTCAACACACAATCACTATCACTTAGTGGCATGTTTTCTATTTGTGTACATTTCAGTAAGCAAGTACAGAAACAGAAAGAGGAAACAAAGCAAGACTACTTCTACCTAAAAGTATGTTGACTACTCTGAACTGATATAAAAGGGGGAAGTGATGATTATTGTGCTTGCTTGCCTCATGATGCCAGTGATTTGTAAAAAATTTGTTCATTAATCAAGGCCGTATCTTGGAAGAGACAAACCCTAGAAATGAAAAGAAGAATGAACGATCTGATACGATTTTTACTCTTAATTACGCCTCCGATTTCCCTGCAGAACAAATGCAGCTGTGGTCAGGCTGTCAGAGGTGGTACTCAGTTCACAGATAGAGGAGGAAGTTTGTTTTTTCAGCATACTGTACAGGCTTCAAGACATTGACACATATATACATCTAGAGAAAGACTCACAATCCAAATGCATTGATTCTTGACATACATGTGGACATAAAGGCTGTTCAGTCAGAGGGGTAATGCATTTAAGGCTGGACAAAAACATGCATTTTTCCACTTAAAGTAATGTGAAGAATTGATTGAGAGGATGCCCAGTGTCATGTGCTTTTGTGAGTGTGATGCGTGTGATGTCTCTGTTTGCTGAAGTCTTAGAGGTTGGGGGTTGGGGTGGGTAATGATTTTTGAATCCAGTGTGTGTGTGTGTGTGTGTGTGTGTGTGTGTGTGTGTGTGTGTGTGTGTGTGTGTGTGTGTGTGTGTGTGTGTGTGTGTGTGAGATGGGTTTTTTTTCCAATGTGATTCCAAGACATCTGAACTACCAGCTGTGCCACTATTGGCAGAGGAGGGATTCTGGGCTGTACAGTGAATGTTGAGAGAGCCAGTAATTTGACTCATCCCCTCTGACTCTGCACTGTAAGGAATGCACTGCAGTGCAGATACAGTGTGTAACTGACACAGAGCAGCAATAAGTCAGAGCACGAGGACTTTGTGCCCAAGACAAAGACTTGTTTGATAGCAGAAAAGCAGCAATGTTTAAATGAAAACTGCTTAATTTCTGCAAATACAACTATCATGTAGAAAAAACTGTTGACTGCATGACTGAGTAACAGTCTAAAGCAAATCACAGGTTTCGGCACCGAATTAATAAGTTAATAAACACCTAAAAGTTATAATGCAGTCAGTGCTATGCCAAAACAATAAATTAATCTAAATTATGACCTGATGAGTAAACATAATATCATGCTATGCCACTTAATTTACTACAAATAATGAAATGTGACTGGATCATGGACAAATGGTACACAGTAGCTGTATGTATTATTGTTAATTCTATCATCATGTTGACCAATATTTCGACTACTTACTTTGTGAGTATCTGAAACATCTTTTAGTTCTCTTTACAGTAATTTGTTTCTTGTTTGGCGCTGCAGATCCTTCATGGGAGCATGATCCTCAGGCAGATTACAATCATGAACCGATCCTTGACCGAGGTGAACGACTTAATTCAGCAGACACATGCAGTCCGCCAACACATCAATCCATATGTCCCACACTTTGCACAACAAAGTGCATACCTACACACACGTGTGAGTACTGGGTACCTACTTATTTTGTTTTTTTCAACAGCAATGCTGGTAGTTTCCAGACGTTTATTTGTCATCTGGTTGCTTGTCATTTTAGGTTCGAGCCATAATGCTTGTGATGACAGCTGGGAGGAGATTCAAAGCAAGAGAACCATCAGAGCAGAGAACGAAGTGGAAGCCAACAAAGTGGTCAACAACTACAGGGTGAGAAGCCCGAAGGTTTTCTGCCACAAATAAAAATGATTGGAGTTTAGCAGAGCCGGTAAACTCAATACTTGATGTGCGTGTGTGTCTGTGTGTGTCAGTTTGGTTTCAGAAAATGGAAGAGCCATGTGACAGAGCGTCCGTTTGAAGACAGGTCAGAGGTTGTGAAAGAGCTCTACTCTGAACTGAATGTCATTAAGCCACATTCAGGTCCAGGTACAGGTTATTGTCCTTGTGTGGTGTGTAAGCTTTATGTTGACAGATAATTCTGATTCAGTACAACTTAGACCTTATTTTTCATGTTCATTGTTTGAATTTATTATGGTAACATTAGGCTCACCAAAGTAATCACTGAGATCTGAGAACACTACAACAACAACATCTGATGTGGCAGGAAATGAGTGGCGAGACGATCATACAGGCTTTAAACAAAGAGATCAGCCACATTACTCAATGCTTTATTTGGTGGTAAAACAACAAAGCAAGGGGTTCAGAAATGTAACAAATAATGTCTCGTTAATCAGAAAAACTGATCACATCGGCTAGTTTGCCAAATCATTTTACTGTGTACATTCCAAATAAGTTTCTAAATCACTTACTCATCCCCTTGTGCCCCTGTGGAGCATTGAGGCAAGCACAGTCTGTCCAGTTCTGGGCCAGTCTCTGGTCTGTGCTGTAGTGGAGGGCCCATGCCCCTGAAGTCATTCTCCAGGAGAGTGTTATGACTGATAAGTTTGGCTATTTGCATAAAATCTGTCTGATCTCCCCATTTAACTTGTTTTTAGAGCTGTCACTGTTTTCCCAGATCTCAGCAATTAACTTGATAAGTACAATTGTAATATTACTGAGAGAAAAAAATGGTAAAAACTGCAAAAAATAATGAGTAAAAAACCATAAAGTATACTGTAAATAATTCACATGGAGAAAAACTCTTTAATGTGGCTGCTGGAGAACTTGTCAACGTACAACTAATGGTTTTTGTCTGTTTGTTTTCCTGATGTCAGGTCATCTCATCACATGTGGAAATGTAGCATATGTGTTTCTCTTTGGCTGGTGGGTGTCCCTGGTGTATTTCCTGGTCAGCATACTTATGCTCATCACTATCACTGGTGTACCGTACGGTAGGTGAGCTAATCAACAAAGAATAATGATTGTGCTCATTACTGATCATCAGCCTTTCCACTTATTCTTGTCTTCGTCTCTGTCTTCAGGCAAGCTTTGCTGGAAGTTGTCTTGCTACTTCCTGTGGCCATTCGGCAAGTCAATCCACGAGGTACTGTTTGGATCTGGGTTTAGTAAACGCTTGGGATGTTGCTCCTGTTGATTCTTTTCCTTTTTTGACAAACTGAAATTAGGTAGATGCACAGTAAAAACCTGTCATTTCCTCACCAACCCAACCTGTGGTCGTGAAAGCAGAAGTCTTATTTTTCTGAATAACACCACAAGTCTGCAACACTACCCGCCATTTGCAGCAACTTGTTATTGCAAAACATTTAGATGCGGCTGACTCTTTGAACAGATATCCATCAAAATTCCTCTGCTCAGTGAATTTATTAAGTTAGGGATAAAAGAAGAGGAAGATTTGCAATGAGAGGGTACTTACAATTTATTTAAAGTTTACATGTACAGCTGTGTTGGTTTGATAATAATACAACACAAGCTGCAGAAAGAAACCTTACAGAAACACAAACACACCTACTTACATTTTCAGTAACAGTAACCTACACACATTTCAGCTGTGAGTAGGTGTTTGGTGTTGGGAAACATTTCTCCTTTAAGCCAATAAAGAATGTAGAATAGTTGTTGACATGTTGCCAAACCTGCATGGATTGGGGAATAATATTTTCCACACAGTTTCACCTTGCAATCTGATTATCTAACTGGTAGATTGTTTTTTTTGGTTATCATTAGAGTGACAATGACGACCTTTCACCCAGTTTGCTCAGTCAGAGAGACAGAGAAGATAATAGTGACAGAAGAGGGTAGTGATGACAAGAGACGAAGGAGAGGTAGTGCAGCTAGAGCAGCATCATCAGCTGAGCTTTAGGAAAGAGTGGAGAGATGCTGCAGAGAGGAAGGCTGCAACGCAGGTTGTGGCGTACTCGCAGTTACAAGAAGGGGTTGTAACTGAACTGACTGGATGCTACAGTGACTCGCTAGTGACTCTTGAGGTACAAAGTGGTATTACAAGACATCTAGCTGGGCAGAATGCCAATTTCAGTAGATGTCTCTGCAACACAATACATAGATTCATCAACTATCCAAATAATTGCTAATTGATATTGTATTGATAGACTTATTGTTTCATTGACTAATTTTTGCAGCTATAAGCTGTGCCAGCAATCCTGTTATACTGTCACAGTTTATTGATTTCTTATAAAAATTAGCAGGTGTCATAGATACATTAGTAGTGTCATTTCCTTATCTGCAAATGTTACTGAAGGTTCAATTTTAGATTCTCTTTAGTCTGAGTATGCTCTCACTCCCCAACATAAATTGATATATCATTCTACATTGATACGCACAATTATGTCATCCTGTGGAACCAAATTACCCTGATGTCCTCATATTGCTCACATTCTAACCTGCTGGTATTATTTGTTACATGTGTGGTATCAGCCAGTTGTTTTCTTTCGTTCTTTCGCAAATCATTCAGATCAATCCCAAAGTCATCAAATGTAAAGGTTCGTGCAGTGAAAATCACACATTCCTCTGGTTGTGTTTCTTCAGATCGGAAACACATTGAGGAGATGTTGTGAGCAAGCACCAGACTGTGAGTGCAACATAGATGGGGTGGACGATAACTCACCAGTTCTGCTGCCTTCACCCACAGAGGTGCCAATTGAAGAGTTGCCAAGACGACCTGCGCACACTCCCTTCTGGGTAACCTTCCACACTTAAAGAAATATAAAGTATACATATACAACATAAATGAGCACCATTCTGCACATGATAAGCTGACATGGAAATAAAGTGTAGGATATCATTACCCCGTGTGTCCTTCTGTTGTGTAGCATCGTTTATCCACCTACATGTGGCTGCTACTGGGATACCCTCCTCTGGTGGTCATTCATTCCCTGGCCTGCTTCTTCTCCTGGATCCTGGTCTTCACCATCCCTGTTTCCAAGATGAACGCACGGACCATGGCCGTCATTCTTCTCTTGCCTCCTGAGGATGTTTCTGTTTCCTCCTGCTCACAGAGGAAGGCAAGGGAGGGAATTAATATTTATCGGTCACAGCACATAAACATGGAGAGATTAATCAGCGTTGGTTTTATGCTCATGCACTGGTTTCTTTATTTTTTACTTGATCTGTAGCATCAAGGCTATGAGACCAGAGCGCTGCTGTGCTGCTACCATGCTGTAAACTGGTACTACTACAAGTACACCGTTGATGGGATCAATGTGTTCGCTGTTAGTATCCTTTACCATTGTGTGTGTGTGTGTGTGTGTGTGTGTGTGTGTGTGTGTGTGTGTGTGTGTGTGTGTGTGTGTGTGTGTGTGTGTGTGTGTGTGTGTGTGTGTGTGTGTGTGCGCATGAAGACCTGTTATCATCTTTGACCCCCATCTCAGACCTCCTCCCTCTAGTAATAGTTGCCATAGTAATTGGATATATTGATAGAGAAAATCACTATGCCAGCTCTGATGTCAAGTTCGCCATAGCAACAGGCTCCATCATACCTCTGTCTTATTACATTGGTATGGGCATTGCCAGGTAAGCTGTTTTCATTACCTTGAAACACACCTGTGAAATGACACTATGCATCTCGTGTAACAAACATGTTTAACAGAGTTTTAACATAATTTTGTAGCAAGTGCTTCTGATGTTAATTGTTGATTTTTGCATTTGCAGTATCTCAGCCCAGAGTAACTTTGCTGTGGGGGCAGTGGTGAACGCTACCTTCGGCTCCATCACAGAATTGACCTTCTACATCACAGCCTTGATCAGAGGTCACCACGCAGCCAACCCTTGTCTGCAGGAGATTGTTAAAGCAGCGCTGACTGGCACGCTGCTCGGATGCATCCTCTTCATTCCTGTGAGCCAACCTGCATTTAACTCACATTTTACATTTTTAAAGTCCTTAACTTAAAATAAAAAAACCTCGTTTCTCAGTACATTTTCCTTGCCTCAACCATATGACTGAAACTTGAAGTGAATTTGCATGTCAGTCCACGTCCTTAAAGGCGTCCCTTCAACATGCAGCCTCGATGAGCTGCTCACTGAATCAGTGTTAATGCCACAATAATGTTTATAAAAAATTAAAAATTAAAAAAAATTAAAAATGCTCAAACACAACACCAATCCGACATGTATGAATGAGGCTCTTTGCTTTGTCCCTCTCTCAGGGCATCTGCATGATAATCGGCGGGCTGAGACACAGTGAGCAAAGATTCAACAGTCGCTCTACAGGAGTGAGCTCTGCTTTGCTTTTCATCTCTGTAGGAGGTAAGTCTCCAAAAAACAATATCCTATCACCTAGTTGCACATTCTTTGGAAGTGTCAGGCACAGGTGGTGATAATAACAAAAGCTACAGCACAGAACTTTTCACAGGGGGCAGTAGTAAACAATTTTCTCCTTTTTAGCTGTACTTTTTGATGCCAACCACCTCATGAAACTGGCTCCTAACTCACTAGCAAACTCACTTACTCACTTTTAGTTTGCTGCAGTTTTTCCATCAGGAGAAGCTGTGCGGTCATTCTCAGACATGCTCCATACTGCCTGCTTGTATCACATCAGGAAAGGAAACTAGCAGGGTCAGCAGTTTAGACCTCCATACAAGTAGCTGCACCACATTTTAGCAAACATATGTTCTAAAAGATTTACACAATTGAGCCACACTGCTCTCTAGTGGATATTAAATAATCAAATAAAAAATAATTAGTGGCTTTAAAACATCACTGAATTTGTAAATTAATTTAATGCATTTTTTTAATGCATAGATCAAATCTGACATGAAATTTCTCGATGGTTGCTCAGGCGATGATGGCAGTGACAGAACCAGCTGTACAGGTCTATTTCTGTCTGCCAAGGGTGAAATCAACTGCCATATTAAAGCATTACCAAAATGTCTTCAATTGAAACCTCCTCCTAACTGTCAATGGCAGGTGTATTTGCCCCAACGTTGTTCTCCAAGGCCTATGGGAACCTAGTGTGTGAGGCCTGCACCAACTCCACTGGAGGAAACAGCACGAGCAACAGCAGCGGACCGTTTGTCTGCCACAACTGCCACTACGATCTGGTCAGCATCAGTAGCCAGGAAACGCATCCTAACATGCACTGACTTAAAGGCACTGTGCTATGTATAATGTATTTTTTATTATTTTTATTCAACAGAACAATGGCACACTCTTCCACAGCCATGTCGAGTAAGAAATCATATATATTTTTTATTTATATACCGATTGTCATGAAGAGGAATTAATGGACCATTGGTCTTGCATGTTTTTGCCCTTTGACTACAAATTGCAAATTACTACGACTATCACCATCACTGCTATTTAACTTTGCATACCAGACGCTTGTATATTGATGCAGCCCTTCCAGCGAGCTGTTTCAGTCAGTACAGTATGAAAATCACTTGCAGAACCTTGAAACATGCTTGAGATAATGCAATCTATTGATGGAAACAAAAAAAAACTGCCTGTATTTTGTATGTGCAAGAAAGGCAACTTGTGAAGGAAGACTTTCCTCAAGGAAGTTTCAAAATTAAGGTATAAATATATGTAAAATAAACAGGCTAAAACATGTTAAATCATCATATGGTCCTTTGAGTTTCTAATGAATTCAGTCAGCTGTAATACCTTCCATATATTTCGTCCTTCACATTTACTGTGTGTGTTCTGGTCGTCAGGCCGTTGGTGTACACAGTGTCCACCCTCCTGCCAGTTGCCTACATCATTGGTCTGATATTCACACTGAAGACACACTCCCACATTTACAACATCCATGTTGAAGAAGGACAGGGTATGAATCATTCTGGTGGTCACAGTTAAGAGCTAACACAAAATTGCACCTTGCATAATTACTCTACAATACAGTGAACAGTGAGGGTTCATCCATCGAATGATAACTTACCACACCATTATCTCTTTGTGTATGTTCACACAGTGACTGGCCACCATGGTGCAGTGGTCCACTGGTCACGGTGGAGGTCTCTGGTCATCCTCATCATGGCCACTGTGCTCACGTCCGCCTGTGCTGATCTTGTCACCGAGCACATCCAGCCCATACTAAACCAACCCAGCATCTCTCAGGTCAGGGAGAGACATGCGTCTGAGCTGCTCAGGCACTTTTTATTTGGTCGTTTTCCTCTGTTGGTGCTAATATTTCTCTTTGTTTCTCCAGTATTTCATTGGGGTGACAGTTCTTGCTATGGTTCCTGAGATCCCAGAGATTGTTAATGGGATCCAGTTTGCACTCCAAAACAACATCAGTCTCAGGTTAATCACGTCTTATTAAAGAAAGTACCAGGACGGGTTAAAAAGTGATATCTGCATCTAAATGATTCTTTTTTTTTTCAGCTTGGAGGTGGGGGGCTGTATTGCTGTGCAGGTCTGCATGCTACAGATTCCAATACTGGTCTTATTTAATGCTTTCTATGTAAGTCATCCATCTCTCATTTTCATCATTGATTTATTCATAGTTTGCTGTTTTATAGTTTCCTGTGATCAAAGACCATCTCTGCTTTGTGTAGGATGTGGGATTTGTGCTGCTATTCAGTGACTTGCACCTGTGGGCCAGCATTTTCAGTGTGATTGTAGTCAACTACATCTTCATGGACGGCAAGTCTGATTATTTTCAGGGTGAGTTTTAAAACTTTTACAATTTAATTAGACATTTTTGGAAATTGAAATTTGGATTTTTTTGGAAAACCAACAATTCCCATGTGCATGTAAATAAAATGACATTCACCAAAAGTTTTTAGATTTATCCCAACGTTGCATTTCATCCCCTTTACATTTTGAAAACCAATTGTAAACATTTGGTTTGATTTATTGTCTCTAAAGTTGATTCAGTCAAGAACACTGTTCTTTTTATATATCAGTCACTGATCCTGAGGATGTTCGGAGGTTTATTCAGCAAAGTTATCTGGATAACTCAGTAGATCTGCCAAACTTGCCTCAGGGGAAGTTGTCACAAACGAACAGTCCCTGTGTGCATCTGAATTTCATTATGATTATAAATTATTACCACTGACTAAAATTTGATGTCATATGCCAAGATCATTTCAAATCCCTGCAATGGCTGCATTAAAAACAGGAAACATCTCTAAATACATTCTCTTTCAGTATTCCTAGGATAATAACGTTATGTTTAAGTGAAACATGCTTATCGAGTGACACCTTGCAACAATAGGGCGTGGCATGTATACCTTCCATCCATTTTTATTTCTTGTCTTGTTTTTTTCTCAGGTACGGCTCTGGTGGTTGTCTACCTTATCCTGCTGGCTCTGTATTTCTTCGCTCCATCTCCAGCAGGCTGTTGAATGTGGATCAGCGGTTTTCCAATTTCTAAGCCTGGAAGAAACTGAACGTGCAAATTCAAAACCACTCCCTCTTGGTGATATTATATCCTGAATGGATTATGACTGAATGATCACGTAGGACTTTTATTTTATTTATTTGTTTTGTATGTTGTATCCTGAATTACACAACTGATGAAACTGAACATTTTAATCTCAGGTAGGTACTTTTTGACTGCATATTACTCCTAATACTGAAAACAGTTCAGTAGGTAAGCTAACATACGTGACTACTTATGCTCTAAACTGTGGTGACTGAGAGAGAAGCAGTATTTTTATAATACAAATGGATATTATGATATAAAGACACTGCAATAATGGTATTTTGTTGAAGGTACTGTTGTGATACATTTGTACACTTTAACTCCAATGTAAAACTGGTACATGTCTATTAGAGTTAATTGGGGTTTTTTTATGGTTGAAAAAGTGGCATGGCTGGCTATGCATTGCAAGAACAATAATATCTCGCAATACAACATTCTGAAAAACCGGCTGCCCGTGTTTTTATTGTTTGTACAGACAGGAATTACAAAACATGATGTACATTATAGCCGTAATTGTCTTTGAGGACATATTCACCTTTTCTCCAAGGAGTTTGTGTAAAGTGACATGCACAGCATACTGACATGCAAAAGAGATCATTCAACTCTCATTAACATCAAAAATGATGCAAATATAAACATCTCAATCTTAAGCGATGTGGTCTGAGCATGTCATGAAGCGGACGATTGCTTCACAATAAGACACAAATAAGGCCATAACAAGTCAAACTCAGAAAAAAGTGACTGAAGTGGGATTTTGAATGTGAAAGAGGGAATTATGATACAATAACTTTCAGATGAGTTTAGCTTGATATTGTACCAACACAGTTACAGTGAATGTGTGAAATAAAATTCTGCCGAGATACTCAACTCAATATTAAAATTGAAGATAGAGATTAACCAAACAGATGAAAGAAAGGCAAGCAGCTGGAAGTATTACTACAGTATTCAAGAATTACAGTCCACAGTAACAGCAAAAGTTTGGTTTTCATCAAAGTCATGCAGGGCGTACCTAAATCTGATTTCACAGAAACGACTGAGCCTGCTGACATTTTAACGATAGTTAATGTTTGCGGAGCCATATCACAGTATTTTACATCCTGAGTACGCCTGACATGCTCCTCACATACTAATACCTTGTTACAGCACTACAGCACAATGTTCTCTTGAGAAATAAGACCAAAAGTTTAAAAAAAAAGGTTAAAATGGAGTTGAGGCACAGACATTGACAGGACAGTGAAATCAGGTGAAAAGGGAAATATAGCTACATGATCTGCTACAATTCAAAATTGTGTGTAAAAAAAAATAAATTAAATAAAACAGCAGCATGGTGAGAAAAATAAATAGGTAAAAATGTCAGTGGATTTAAGTAGATGAAAAATCTTTAGTGGCAGTGGTATCTCCTGAATAATCATGAGCAGAAAAAGTTCAGCAACAAAAGACTCACTTGGAGAGCACCAGCTAAATCACATGGAGAAAAAAGGCCTAGATGTACACAATTCAGACAGTAATGAAGAGATAAAAGTCTTTAAAACATTTTTTTTTTTTTTTTTTTTTTTTTAAATGTGTGTGATATTTTGGTCATTCAGAAGGCACCAAATGAAGAAATAAAAAGGCTTGAGAATTGCTGTGGAGCTACAGGTGTGTAAATTCATTTCTAAAGTACTCAGCTTCATTTTTCCAAAAAGAAGAATCGAAGAGGCACAAGATTCACAGTGATGCAATGTCACAGATGATTTTAAAGAGGCCTTTGGGTTTTCATCTGATCACAAGGCCTAATGTGACCAGTGAGGGAAACTTTTTTTCCAATGTAATCACAGCTCGATATTAGCATACAATCAGGAAGTCCTTGAGGCTAAAACATGATGGCTTAAATAATTGACCTAGTTAGACTGATGAGAGGTATCACAGTTATAACATGCATGATGAGCAGTGAGCCACTTTTCAGAGAATTTAACATATTTCTAGATGAATAGAAATGTAAGTGTCTATAAGGATGAAAACTGGTCACAAATTTCTCCTGTTTGAAAATGCAGTCATTTCTAAACCTTACCTATGTAACAGTGGGCGTAGCAGCAGCTGACTGGCAGCAACACGTCTTCACTTCAACAGTGAAACAGGCGTACCTCTGAACAGAAGCTGAAATTACTCGAGCAGAAGCGACATTCATTTTGCCTTTCAAGAAATGGTCTTTGGAAGATTTAACAATTCTTGCTCATGCTCCACAAGTTTGAGTGACAGTGATGTGTGGTAAAAAAAAAAACAACAAAAAAAATAAAACAAAAAACGGAGTATTGCACAAGATACCCCTGAGCAACAAGGAAGTGGAAATCAGCATACAGTGATTCTGGTTTCCACACTGATGCATGGCTTATGACGGGTACGTGCAAAGTCCAATCTGACACGTTCACATACAGAGAAAGTTAAAACATTGCACTTCGTATTTAAAAAAAAAAAAAAACCACACACATTTACATAAGACTGGAGTTAAAAGGCATTCAAAGTATTTTCATAACCATCTGACATCAGAATTTGTTTCAGGAACTTTTTTGCCTAGTTAACTGCAATATTACAGCCAGTGCTGCTCCATCACATACCGCCTCCTACAGTCTCTGCGCTCCCTCTATTTGAGCCGCTGAATTAGTGTGTGTGTCAGTCCCAGGCTGAGCAGCTGAAGGGTGGACAGCTGGGCTAAGTGAGGGAAAGTTTTCAGCAGTTTTTCCCAGGTCAGTTCCAGCAAGCTAGGCACCACCAACCACACTTTGTACAAAGAGCCAGTCCTCCGGTTCCCGGACATGTTGACGACGCCGCCGTGGACGTACATACAGCCAGCCTGAAGCAGAGGACCAGTACAGGACATTAGAGCTACGACAATTAGGCCATTATTCGCTAAGTCAGTTGACATAAAATTAATCAGGAACTATTTTGATAATCTTAAGTAAAATTTCAGCAAAAACCCGAAATGTCCTGTGCTTTCAGTTTTATCAATGTGAGGATTTGCTGCTCATATCCATTTTAAAATCATTGTGAGTTGAATATATTATCTTTGGGAAGTTGGTCAGACAAAACAGGACATGAAGATGTCATCTTGGGCTCTGAGAAATAGTGAGTCATTTTATAGACTGAACAATCAGTTAATTGAAAAAATAATCAGGAGATTAATGATGAAAATGATCTGAATCATTAGTTGCAGCCCCACAAGAAATAAAGCTCTCATCTAACTTTGTGTAGATTTCTTTTCTCACTCAGTGTGGAAGAGAAATCTGTCGACAGTATGGATGCGACACGTGTGAAAGAAATTTTACTGACCGGAGTGACTGCAGCACAGTGAAAGTAGGCTGGTTCTGGCATGATGGCAGGCAGCCTGGTCCACTGAAAAGTCTGCAGGTTGATCTTCCACAGGTCCGACAGGATTAGCTCTCCATTATAACCCCCACATATAAACACCTCTGCAGATAAAAACAGAATGAGACATGATTTAAAAAAAAAAAAAAAACATTTCAGACATGTACACAGATAAAGCTGCTGTGTGAAATACTCCTTACCATCTTTGACCTGCACACAGCTGTGACAACGGCGGGCAGCGGGATATCCTGTCATGATAATGGCAAATAAAACAAAGTGAATTTATTGTGTTGTTTTCAAATCATTCATTCAGGAAAAATAAATAAAAAAAAAAAAGATCTGAACGTGGATCACAAACCTATTTTTTCATGGGGTTTGGTGATTATTTCCTCCCAGTAATTTGTCTCCAAGTTATATGCATGAATCTGATGAAGACAAATAGTATTAAATAGATAAAATGAAGAAGTAGCACTTTGTGCTTATGTAAAATATGTGGCTGGCTACCTTGTCCAGGGAATATGATGTCCAGGAAGTCCCACCTCCTAAAATGTATATTCTCTGTCCATCATGAGCTAGTTCATGTCTGTACCTGTAAAATCAGGCATTCGTTTTCAGTACATTTCAATTATCATGTTGGGAAGTCACTACAGGTCAAACACTGTGTGATTGTTAAAATGATTTCTGTTGTCTGACCTCTCTTCAGGCAGGTCTGACGGTGCGTTGTTGGGTTTGAGGTGGGTCCACTCTCTGGTGGTCAGGTCCAGCCTGTGCAGGTCAGTGCTGTAAAGGTAGCCTGTTGTCCCTCCAAACACATAGAGGTAGCCATTTATGATGACCATCGCCTGGGAAATGGAGATTACTCATAGATGTTTGTGTATGGAATACACAGCTAAAGGCAGTAGTCAAAAAGTAGTGAATAAATGATGACACAGAAAAAGATTTTAGGACTTAAGCTGCACATTCAACCAGCTATAAAGAGACAAACACTCTCACCTGCCCATAGATCTTGTTGGGCTTCTTCCCTCTGCAGTTGAGCAGGTTCCATCGCTTGTACTGAACGTTGCAAACATGGACATCATTGCCATTGTTTTCACCAAATGGAATCCCAGTGCCACCAAACACAAGCAGGTTGTTGCCATGTAAAACAGCTGAAAGCAACAGACAAGCAACACAATCAATCTCTACTACAGTTTTAATATCTTGCAGACTATCCCTGGAAAGGTTTAGCAAGTGTTTCTATTTTCTCACTCATCAGAATAAACTGAGAAAATCTACATTTGCCCCTGAGTCACTGAAGAAATTAGGTTACTGTAGAGGGCTGACTGTAATCTGGTTGCTTAAATTCATGTAAAACGCGCTGATTGTTTGCAGTGTATAAGTTTACACAGATGGCCTTAAAGGTGTCATGAGGAGTTTTCTTGTAAACTGTTTATATTCAATTTTCTTCCTCATAAAACATTAACAGAGCAAATTTTTCTTATATGTTTGAAACCTACATCGTTTACATCTGTGTTTATTGGTGGCACATTGCGGCATTTCTTGGTGCATTACAGCCACCTGTAGCATTGACCCACTTGTAAAAACACTGCTTCGAAGCCCTTGCCTAGTGGCCAAACGCTCCATAGGGTTCCTTTAAATAAGACCGGTAGCTGGTTTTACCTGACATAGAGGCCAGCTCTGTAGGCATGTAACCCTCCGTGCGGACTTGTTGCCACGTGGCTGTGGCAAAATGAAACCGCCAAAGCTCCCTGAAAAGAGGGTAGTCTTCATTCTCTGACCCGCCTGCCTCCTCAAAGTCTGGGTTGTAGCCTCCAAACACGTACAGGTTGGTGCTGTCTGCAACACAGCGGTGTCCACTCCGGGCAGGAGGTACACAGTGTCCTGTTGGAGGAATAAGGAAAAGACAGACAGACTTTTTGAGCCACTGGTGTAAAGGGAAAAGGAAATGAAAATGTTTACCAAACTACATCTTTGCTGCTAAATATTAGACAACACAGTGTCTATCATCGTGTCCTCCTCAAATGTGGGCTTATTGTCTTTACCTACAGATACTGAGCGTAAAACTTGGTGAGTTTTACAACAGCTACAGTATGCATTTTACAGGAGCAGGATCACTAAGTCAGTTTATATTGACATCCGTTTCCGTCTGTGAGGCAAAAAGGGTCGGAGGGGGAGGTCATGCAGTTTCAGCACCTTCTCTCAGAAACCTGTTGGGGATCCGCAGGTTGGGACAGGAAGGGGAGAAGATGCGTCGAGCCTGAAGCCACCGTGCCCGCTTCTTAGAGCCTGTAAGTCAGTCAACAACAGGGAAAGAGTCACACAGAAGCAGACTGAAATATGAACAGTTAATGTACTGACACTCTACTAAAAAACTGTAAGATTTGACCTCTTGACTATGATTCTGCATCAAAGGAAACTGAATCATTTGAGTGAGTCTTTGGTTGAAATGTTTATCACCAGAACATTAAGAAGGGCTTTTGCCACTGGTCGGGAGTTAATATTGTCTGTTTTTATGTCCAGTCTCAACCTTTTCATTTAGCATATTGTTAATGATTATGCAAAAAAAGTGTATAACATTTTGTGGAGTTGAAGGTCGTTTGACACATCAAACATACAGAGTTTAAGTTTTATAACCCACTATTTCATGTAAGTAATGTCTGTTTTCTGAACTGTATCAGTGAAGCAAAGCTAACGTTGTGTGTGCGCTGTTGTCTGCAGTGGCCCCTCCTGGTAGCTAATACACGTCCCCCACCATCTTCCTATCGGTCTCTCATATGTTAATCCGTTTTTAGGGACAATAACAATAGCTCTGTTGATGACTGTTGGGATTCATTCACTCACAAATTTTTGCTCTCTTCCGTAGCAGCTTTAGCTAACGTTGGCCTGTGTGCTTTGGCGGTGATGCACCACAGCTAGCCTCGCTAACTCACAGACAAATTAGCATCCTGGTGTAAACAAAGACTACATCAGCCATTGCTACTGTTAGCTTCCTTTAGTTTGCTGTTTGATTTTTCTGACAGCGTGAGGCAGCAGGGTGGTCGGTGCTGTTTACAAACCTGAGTCTCGGATGAAGGGCCTCCACGACAGTTTCTCAAACTTATTGAGCTGACTGAATGTCCCGTCATGTTGGGCCGACGACATCTTAACAGGAGAGCACTCACACACACAAAGAGGGAGTTACACCCAGACCAGGACGAGCACCCGCTTCACTTTCACCAAACGCCGTGGCATGAGACTGCAGGCTCGACAGACAGACCAAAATAAAGTGAAAAAAACTAGTGTGTCCGTCCACACCTGCTGCTGCCTGCAACGTCACAGACAGCTGCCCTGAACTGACCAATCACAGGAGGAGGGACCCTGCATGTCGCGTTCAAGAGCCACATTGAAATGTTTATAGTGTTGGCATACAGTATGCATAATCGGCTCAAATATCGCAGTACACAAAAGCTTTACATTCTCCGTGTGGTTAAAAGGGAGACAATTCCTTACCTTGCCTAAGACTCGTACCCATTGGTGTTGCACCAAAATCTGGACCCCGCACTACACTACTGCAGTCTCAGCGCGCCCCCTTCCTCTTTTAACACATGGAAACCCATTTCCGCCACTGTGATGAAAAATTCTACTCACAATTAAAGTAGTCTTTTGATTTTTGAAACTGACTTTGCATCTAATAAAAAATCAATTGATCAATTGGATCAATTGATTTATAAAATGTAAGAAATTAATTTCCTCGAGCTTAAGGGGACATGAATTATTTGTTTTGTCTAAAACCCAAAGATTTTTAATTTATTAACTCATGGGACAAAGAAAATCAACAAACTCTCACAAATGAGAAGCTGAAACCAATGAATGTCACATTTTTGTTAGAAAAATGAAACTTAAACAATTAATTGATTATGATTGTTGGATACATTTTCTGTGTATTTTCTGTCAGATAGATTGGCATAACTGTATCTGGTAATGTTAAACTTCAGTGAGAGATATCCTGAGTTTATGTAAGCTACTGTAATTTGTTTGCTTGCTGCAGTAAATCAAGATCTACATTCTCCAGCAAAGTGTATGGTGACTTACAACCTGGCAACTGAACCAAGTCAACCAAGTCAACCTTTCCCCCAGATCTTCTGGGGCTGCTTTGCTGACATGTGGTAATCTGGATTTGGAGCTCACTGGGATAGGCTGAAGGAGCAAAACAGAACAGAAAGATCAATCATCACATGAAAAGCTAACATGGATTGTTCAGATAGCGTGTGTGAAAATAAACATAATATACATAAGAACTGTAATAGTTGTCTCAGTGACAATAATAATGAACTTTTTTGATTACCAGTGTTGTTTCGCTGCAGTTCACTTCACTAAAAGCATGTCACAGCGCATGTGTTCTATGTAAATGCATGTTAATGTTTAACATTTAAGGCCCTTGATGCCTGTCCAGACTCTGCAGCTGTTCCAGTAAAATAGCTCTTTGTGGCAAACTTTTTGTTGCACTCCTGATCTGTTTCTGTTGAGATAGCAGTGCACCAGTCATTCAACCTGAAGGCACTGGTGTTTTACACAGTACACTATGTTCCTTCATAAATGTCCTTCTGCATTGCAACTTCACTTAACATCAGGTGGCACATTTGTTAGCAGAGAGAATCTCAGTCTCAGTGACTCAGTTAACATAACATTGCCTCTCCATATAATTCCTCAGCAGACTGACAGCGAGTAGGAAATGAAGCCAGTCCTTGAAGTGTCACCAACAGTAAGAAATTCCTGATCAATGAGTTACAGCTGTGTTAATGAGATTAAACAGGAAATGAGTTGTCAACTTTTTGTTCCTTCCAGTGATCTACTCATAGATGTCTGGGGATCAGCACTTGATACAATCTCCACCAAATGACGTCCAAAGTGTTTTGCATGATTGGGAGATGCACTGCATTCATTATTTTTGTTTGGTTATCTACTGTAAACTCTTCATGTATGAAGAGTTTACAGTAGATAACCAAAAGACTTTAAAGGCTAAGCAAATACCTGTGTTAAGGTTGTGTGTTAAACTGGAGATATGGAAAATCATTGGGCAGAACAAGTTTAACATATACATGCATGAGGGCATTACATAGCTGACATGCTCATGGCTTTAGGACAGATTGTCTGGAAGTTTAGCAAAGACATCAGTATTGAGTGAATACAAAGCAAATATGAGTTTCAATCTGCAATTGAACATTTTAAAGGATGCATGGACAGATTTTTGAGAGCAGAACAAGATCTGAGAGTAAGTGATGACACATTTTTAGGAGTAATTAATATTTTGAAGATTCAGTGGGATTTGTGCTTGTGGATTCAATCAAGCAGTGGGGGTTCTTTTGCTGACTATCTCCTGCTTGTTCTTAGTTTTGGCAAGCTCAAAGTGGCTTCTGTATATCAAACTCCTCATCCATAATGCTCATTGGAAAAAATTATCTTCTTCTTTTTGTATAATTAGCTGCATCCAGGATGGTGCTGTCTTTTTTATTTTTGCTCTCCACCTTTGACCACAGACGGATGGATCTGTAATTGGAGACAGTTTACTGACCTTTGTACCGTATTTGACAGCCTTTAATAATACTGATGAAATCAGCCTTTAGTGCACACCTTCCATAGATTGCTCGCACACACACATGCAAATATCATTCAAAATGTGTTGCCCCTACACACTCTTAAATCTTGACTTGCAAAACTGACTACAACTTGAGTTTGTTGATTTTAGCTGATGATAAGCTCATCGAGTTAAAGTTAAACTGTTAGACGGAACAAAATATACATATTTTAAATTAAACAAGACTTCTAAGGAGAGTCTGTAATGCAAGAGGTTTCCAGTGTTTCTATATGCACTGCCATATTTGGAGTGAGACCTTTATATGCAAATTGTAATGAAACAAGCAATGATGTGCGAGACACCAACAAGGGGGGCATTATTTCAGAGCCACCAGCCTGTGCCCAGAATACACAAACAAAGATTTACACACTCAAATGTTGAATACTACAATCTGAGTGATGTGGTGGTCTGATAACTCAGAAAAAAAAGCATCTGGTGTTTGCCACATTATTGAGTCATCGCAGGCAACAGATTGTTTAATAACATCAAGTCAAGGATTGTATTGTGTCAGCCTTTTTCCAGGTATACGTGCAGCCAGATATTTTGTTTAAGTCACATACATGGCTCTCCTCTTGACTCCACGTGGCTGGAGTGCCAGAGTTTTGACACAAAATATGTTAATGTGATGAATCCTACGTGTACATCAGCATAACAAAGGGTTCTGGTATGTTACTTGTGGTTGTCATCTTATGACAAGCAGGAGGTCATACTATGAACACCCAAGAACCATCTCAGGTCATGTGAGATTCTCAAGACCTGAATTTGACTTGGGACTCAAGGCAAGTCGACTTCGTCACATTGCAGACATGGAAACAGGAGCGATTGCAGATCTCAATTTGAACAGAACTGTGTGTAAGGATTTTGACAGACCTGAGCTTGAAGACTATAAACTGTCATCGCCTCCTCATAAAATAATTGCTGGGACAAAAGTCCTTTTTTAAGTTTCCTCTGTCAGAAAAATGTTAACAATTTCTTTCTGTACTCAATAAAGATGATCTACTTAGCTAAATCAAGGCAATTTTTTATATAGTTCATAATCAAATTTGCTTCAGGGGGGTTTACAATCTGTAAAAGAGAAAAAACAAAGAAGAGATCCCATTTATGGGATTGGATGGGGCTGGCTGAAACAGGATTTCTCCTTTTTGTTTGATTGTTTCTTTGTTTTTAATTTGTACACATTTGTTGTTTCACTTTTGGTGTTTGCACCTTTCCTGGTTGTTTAGTTTCTGGTTTCTTTATTATAGTTGTGGGGGATTTATTTAATTGCATATATCAGTGAAACTAAATAATAGAAACACCCCTCAATGTCCAAAATGACCTACAGTTCAACTGACATCTCTTTAAAACAGGTTTAAATATGAATATTATACCCTTCATGGAGGCCAGCGTTATTATTACATATGACAGAAGTGTTGCATTAGAATGCATTTGTTTTAGCTTGGAGTACCTGGTAAACTGTCAAGTATGTCGTGAGCAATACGAGGCTAAGTCACTCATTAACTCTAAATATTTGTGATTCATATAATTCATGGACACAGAGTGCCTGTGAAGAAACACAACTTTGGCCTAATGTGCTTGTTTCAGCCTTTTAAACAAGCCAATTCCGCCATAGATATAGGCATGATAGACAAGCACGCACTTTCTCTCTGAGCACTATTTGAGCAGCCTCTGGAAAAACAAGCCGGAAGTACATTTTTTGTTTAAATGTGAAGTTATATCTTTGCAGATTTGACCAAAGCAATTATATCCACTTTCAGAAATACGTTACTAACAGTGCAGTCGTGTTCTGTGGAGCACATTTCTGTACCTGGGCCCCTCCTCTCGTCAGCCTGGTCGCTGGAGGTTGATGTCACTGGCAGAGTCCTCAGGACAGGAGGACACAACTAGGTAGAGCTGGTCTCAGACAAACCGTGGAGATCCAGTGAGAGGAAGAAAAGTGGGCGATGTTGCAGCTAGGATCCTGTTTATGGACATTGTGGGAAGACTGCTGATACAGTCCATCCAAGCTGAGAGGTCGAGGTAGCCTCATCGCCGCAGTATTTTTGATCACTTCTTTAAAGGAATACAAAAATGTCGTCTCCAAGTCCAGGCAAGAGGCGAATGGATACCGACGTGGTGAAACTGTATCCTTCCCAGAACATAAACAAGCCGAAATAGCCAAATTAAATAGGCACATCTTGTTTTATAGCCATTGTCAGCTCTCTGATGTTGATTAAATACGTCATTTGTTCCCGATGGCTGTTGTAACGATGTGTATTATTCTGCTGCTAGCTATTTGAGATTAATGTATATTGTGAAAAGTGAGTAACGTGAAACACCGTGGTGTTAACGGGAAGCTGTGTCTAACGCTAGCTCACTGTTAAGTTAGCAGAATAGCGAGGAAGCTACACGTTTAATGTTATTTGTGTGGACTCACTTGCCTCTTCGCCAGAATTATCTCGCTAATACATTATTAATGTTTTTTTCTTGTCTTGTTTGTATCCATCGAGAATTAGCAGCGTAATCTGTCGCAACACAACGCTGACTGGTTAAACTCTGTGTTAGCTTTGGACGTTGTTAGCCTTAGCTTGGGTGCGATAAGTTAGCCTGCTAGCCAGTAATATGTGGTCCCACCGGACTGACAGCATAACGTGAGGGATAAGTGAGGACTCTTTTACATTTTCGAAACACTTATTTGGAAAGTTAGGTGTATTTTTTTCTTGATTTGGTAACGTTTACACTGAGGAAGCTAGCTGTTAGCTTTCACCGAGAGAACAAATAAGGTCGATGTAGCGTAACAGAGACGATCTTTCGACAAATACATAGAAAGTCGACCTCTAACTACATTTATTAACGTTAGACAACAGGAAAAACCAGGCATTGACATTTTGTGCTCATTTTAAATTGATGCCCAAATACAAAAATATTTCAAATAGAAGATAACCAGAACATAAATTGTATTTATAAAGAATAAGTCACGGTTGTCGTGTTTACCACATATTATACAGTAGAGTTTATGAAGCCTAAATATGATTTTATCTGAGTTTAACGATGTTAAAAAGAGGGGGCTTAAAAAGCGAATGTATATGGTATTGTCCTCTTTAATATTATTTTTTTCAATAACATTATTTGGATATCAAATGATGGTATGTTTTAATTTGTTGACAGCTGACTGGTGTAGTCTTGTTGAGTGTATATCGTTGTGTTGTGGCTCATTATTTGCAGTTTTCATCTGAAGTTTGCATGAAAGGTTTTCTGACAGCGTGAGCTGCATTGTTTTGTTTTTGTCCTGCAGCTAGACGCTGCTCTCTGATTGGTCAGCCTGTTACCATCCGGAACATGGCAGGGGGCGGGGCTTCACACACAGCTGATCGAAGAAACAACAAGCGTGCTTTCCGGGGCACATGAAGCGAGGGGGGGCTTCCAGTCCACAGCAGGGACAGGGCCGCTTGATGTTAGTGGATGAACGTGTTGTTTTCACCTTTGCAGAACTAGGGTCACACAGCCAGAGCTGAAACAATCATGATGATTAATCTATTACTCAAACTAGTCAGTGAAAATTATAATGACCTTATAATCGTTTAAGTCATTTGAAGTCATAGCAAAAATCTTGGTTCCAGTTCCTGGAATGTGCAGATTTCCTGATTTGATGTTTTTATGTTTTCGTGTAAACTCACTATCCTTGGTTTTGGGGCTGTTGGTCAGACAAAACAAGCAATTTGAAGACATCCCCTTAGCCTGGGATTGGATTTTTCACAATTTTTTGACTTCAACAATCTCATCTTCTCTTAATCTGAATGATCAATTAATTAATCATAAGAAAGTTTATTGAAATCTTAATTGAGAATGAAAATAATCAGCCCTACTGATGACATACATAGAGAGAAAAGCGTTGGTCCTTTATAATGGAGTATGTTAGTCTCTTACCTAAGATGCTATTAGTGAATGAAATTAGCCTAATATTTAAGTATTTAAATTTCATATCTTTCAAGACTTAGACACAATCAGTTTCACAACAGAAAAAATGACTTAATACATAGTGTTGTGCCAGGATGCACTTTTATCAGTTTGATAATTCAAAACTTCTTATTATTCCTTAAATTTACATATTTTATATAACCTTCATTATAACCAGCCATTAAACCTGTTATCAATCAATTAATTAATTATAATAATGATGTTTGTGACCCCTTACCTGAGAATGTTGGTTAGAGTTAAAATACACGTGTGGTTCTACCTAGAGCTACTAACATGCTCAAGTGCAAGCAGATTTAATGATGCCGAGGTAGATAGGAAAGAGTTTATGTGCTATTAAGTATGTAAAGGTAGTGAGTCATTCAGGTTGATGGATTCATTTAAATTCTTGTATTCCTTCCACTGCATATATTGTATTGTCTTTGCTGTTTTGTTGATTTGTTTTCAGTTTTCATGATTCTTTATGAATCCTTACCTTGAAGAGAGGATTTAACATAAGTCAAAGACGTGTTTCTTACCAAACCTGCACATCTACGTCAAAAAAGGAAATATACATATACATTGTACATATACAATGTGCATGTATTTGTAATGTCTTAAGTGTGCGAATCAAATCCAATCAAACTTAGAACATTTTTATCACAGGTGTGATCGTGGACGTACAGTATTGTCTATAAAAAAGATGCAAACAAAGGAGAAATTCAAAATAGGGTAACGGTTTTGGTTTTCGTTGACGTGCTTTATAAAGTATGGAAATAGAGCCGAAATGCTCAGCGTCATGAGACGAGTACATCATAGTGCTGATAAATCAGTGCACTGAGAGCTTTCGTAAAAATAAAGGTTTTCCCTTGTGTAGTTACTTTACTCTTGAGTGAGCATATGTTAGAGTTTCTATGGATAACCCTAAGGGAAAGGCAGAAGAGAGAGATGCACAGTTTTACTGCACAAGCCTGCAACTGTAACTGGTTTTATTTATAGGACCCATTGCTTTAGATCACATTTAGAGCTACCCTGTCGTCTTGGGTAGTGGTTTGCAAACCTTTTACTATTGAGTGACTGAGCTTTTTAAACCTTCTTCTCTGGTAGATGTTTACAGTTATTTTGCTGTCAGAAAGTTATGTAATCCAGCATTATCCTAACGTTTCCTTTGTTAGAGTGTTGGGATTGAGATGACAGAAGGATTTATGACAGGATGATGAAATAGAGTGTAAGAGTTCGTTGTGTGGTTTTTGTGGGTTTTTTTGTTTTCCATCTGTCATTGTGTCAGTCTCACAGTAGTTGACTGAGTACGTTCGACCTTTCTGTGTTGCGGTCAGACAGTTGACTCAGTTTCATCTCTCTTGCTGTCACCACACACTGTGATTATGACACATCCTCCTCACCCAAGTCAAGTTCCATCTTCTCCAGCTGTAGCTTCCTTCAAAACAGATAAAAGTTCCCATCAGTCCTCTCTACAGCTAAGGTAGCTGAAGAGAGCAGGTTTACACTGATCATCTTAATGTTTGGTAGTTGATAGACCCTCCTCTGATGTCTGTGCTTTCAGAATTATATTTCCTTTTTCTACATGTTTATTGAGAATAATGATCCGTGGCCATGAAAAAATCACCACACTTTCCTGATTATGTCCGAGTACAACAGTTAATGTTTGCGGTTTTCTGTTTTGAGAAATGTGGAATGGATGCGCAGTGGAAAAGCTTTTATTGTTGTTTTTTTCTTCTGTCTTCTTTCTTATTGTAAGATGTTTTGAGCTGTTGTCTGTTGGTTGAGTTTGTCTGGCAGTGGACACTGCATTATTGATCTCACTGCCTCATGTTATTGATTTTAGGTTTGACCTCTGCCCAGACAAGTTCACAGAGAGTGAGAATCTAAGGTTTTAGACACAGTAGCCCAGCCTGTGTTGGTGAATGTTTGTCGAAAATATATTTGATGTCTGAATTTTCTGCCTCTTGTGTTGGTTGAGTTTTGGGTGTGGCTTTTCCTTAACCAGTCATCAGCATTGAGAGCAAGCACGAGGTCACCATCCTTAGTGGACTCAACGAATTTGTGGTCAAGTTCCATGGACCACCTGGAAGTAAGAGCCCCCTGAAAATTACAGATTTCCGATTTTCCTTTTTATAGTATAAATTTATGAGAGTGGTATTGATCCTCTCGTCTAACTGTCGAAGAAAGAGAATAAATGTGTTTTCCAAAATATGGAACTCTTCCTTTAACAACCTGGACAATGCTGTTTGTTTTGTGTGTTTGTTTTGAGAATATATTGATTGATCGTACTTTTTCCAGCACCGTATGAAGGAGGCGTGTGGAAGGTTCGGGTGGACCTGCCAGATAAATATCCCTTCAAATCACCATCAATAGGTATGAAATAATAGGAATGTAATAATCATGCAAGTGTTTAATCCTTGTGAATGATAAAAGCTTTGAAAATCTTTATGCCCATCATTATTATCCTTGCCTTGTAAAGTAGTGCTGTTAAACAGTGGACATCAGAGTGATTTTAACTTGCTTCTCTCTAATTATTTTTTTTAGGATTCATGAATAAAATCTTTCATCCCAACATTGATGAAGCGTAAGTAGGACAGTTATTAGATACCAGTATACAGTTGTACCTTTTTTTTAATGCAGACACCCTGACACCTACAAACATATCTTAAAGTTTAGTACATGGGAAATTATTCTTGCTAGTGGTAAAATGCTGCTGTTTTCTCTTGAACTCACCCAGAACTCACTGTGCACCCTCCTCTGCTGTGACAGCCTCTGATGGGCTCTTCTTTTTGTATCATTCACAGTGGTGTGTTTTGTCTTTTTGCAGGTCAGGCACTGTGTGTTTAGATGTCATAAACCAGACATGGACAGCTCTCTATGGTAGGTCACAGTCACAGCTCTCATTATGACAGCCTCATATAGTGTATATACAGTACTTTCACCAGTTATTCTGTTAAACTGACTGACAGTAAATGGCCAATAAAATAACACATAGCGAGCAGCTTACACCTCTACAGTGCAGCTTTGGGCAGAGCATCTCGGTTTAATCGGCTTACACTTCAATGATAACTGCAGCTTGTATTAAGGTCATGTATTGAGCATTGATAGATAAGAAGGTCCTGAGGCTGAGAGGACTCTGAACAGGATGTAGTGAACACACTCACGTGGAGGGGATTTTTCTCACTTTCTTTGTTTCTGTTGTTCCAGTGACTGTTACAATGATTGTGAAACTCCTTCAAACTTCTGCCAGTAGCTCCCAGATTTTGGTTTACACTTGGATCTTTGTGCATTTATGTGCAACAGATGAGTTTGCACACTGTTCACTTGATCAAGTTGTGAGTAATATTGTTAGGTATCTCAGAAGTACATCACTGTTTCAAAAAGATGATTTACACCTTTTGGACTTTCTGAGGTGTTCCTGCATTTGGAGTCATTTTGTAATTATCTCTAGTGGATGATGATATAGTTGCACACATGACTCCAGCTTGTTGGTGGTTCATATGACCTGTGTAGGTTTGTTTTTCTGTCTACTGACTAATCTTTCTCCCCACATCCACCAGACCTCACCAACATCTTTGAGTCGTTCCTCCCGCAGCTGCTCGCCTACCCCAACCCCATTGATCCTCTGAACGGGGATGCAGCCGCCATGTACCTGCACCGACCAGAGGATTATAAACACAAGATCAAAGGTAGCAGACTCAAAGTCGGAAATAGTGGCTGTTCAGATGAAAAACAAAATGACGTACATGTATGTGGTTACTGTAGGGTATCGCTGTTTTCTTAATATTTCTACATTGGGGGAATATAACATTTAGATTTTGTGCATTCCCAGAATGAAACTCTGATTTTGCAAGGAGTTATTGTAGTTATTCAAGCTAAAGGGAACACACACTGTTAAAATCCAAATGTTATATTAGCAATGTTGGAGATTTTTGCAACTTGCAATCAAGTTGTATATATACATGTATTTCTAATCTAATGCTGGTTTCCATCTACTGCAGCCACATGAATATTCAGAGTTGTTTTGTTGAGATTTTTGACATGAATTAATTTGAGGAACATTATAGTCTTCTCATGTGTTCCACACAGGTCTGATGTTTTCATCTGCCGCCATTAACTAGTCATATACAAGATTTATTTCCTAAGTTTCAACTGCACTATGTCACATTTTGTTTTTATCGATGCACCAACTTTTTCACCGGAGTCAAGTGTGAAAACCTGTTTTTGATATTTTTACTTTTTGAATTTCTGGCTTTTCTACTCAGGTAAACTATGATGAGGTTTCACAAGTTATAGAGCAGTTCCTCACCATGACTGACATAACTGAAACATCTGTCAATGTGTGAGAGTGTTAGAGGCTGCTGTGTCGTTGCTGAGTTGCGTCACATGGACTCAGTCAAGCCATCTTTCTCCCTCCTCGTGTTTTTCTTACAGAGTACATCCAGAAGTACGCCACAGAGGAGGCCCTAAAGGAACAGGAGGAAGGAGGGGGCGACTCTTCTTCCGAGAGCTCCATGTCAGACTTTTCGGAGGATGAGGCTCAGGACATGGAGTTGTAGTGAAGGGAGAGATCCTTTCCACTTCACCTCACAACAGACTATCATTTCCTAAGAGCAGAAACTCAGTACTATATTCATATTTAAACAAGACAATTTTTTACAGCAACACAAGGATTTTTATTGCTACACAAGGATTTGCAGTATGATATTGCAGAATATTTACCCTTATTTAGGAATTCATCACCTGCCCCTTCCCACCTCCTCCTTACCCGACAGAGCCTTTGTAGATCAGAAAGGAGTGCATCATTCGATTCCATGATCTTTAGTGGCTTTAGGCAAGGCGCTCGCACTCACCGAGTCTAAGCAGGAGGCAAGAGGACTGTCATCAAAGCAAAACTACACTGTTTACACTCAGTTTCCTATTTGGATCCACAAGACACACCTCACCAGTTTTTCTGTTGTGACATGCAAGTTTTTTTTTTGTTTTTTTTTTACCAGTATTCATTCAACATTTTACTGCTTCATCAGGCATCTTTTCTTCACTGACAGAGCTCTGCAGGATGACAATCCACTATTTGTGAGCGATCTCAACTTCAGAAGTGCGTGGATTCTTTTTTTTTTTTTTCACCATTCATTGTTTGACACAACTGCCCCAAGGAGCTGCCATTACAATCATCACTTCTGAGGAGCCGAAGACCACAAGCCCACAGCGCGGTCATGTGTTCGCCGTGTACTGACTGGTGTGGCTGCAGACAGCCTCTCTGACAGGACTGCATGGCACACACTATCAAGCAACCAATGCATCAACCATGACAACGCCACAGAATGTGTGTGTGGGCGTGTGCGTGCGTGCGTGCGTGCGTGCATGCATGCGTGTGTGGGGGCGTGCACCTGTGTGTGTGCATGCATGAATGTAACCCAGCGAGAATCATGGTGCATTGATAACCGTGTTGTACTGAACCCTGATGCTCAGCAGAAGTGGAGGAGAAGGTTCATGATCCTGGTCATTCTCATCTTCAATACCCGTCTCCTCCTCCTCCTCCTCCTCTTCCTCCTCTCCGTTTTAGGAAAGTGTCTGTCATTCTCTGAGTATCTTTGTATATTGTGGCATGACACAGAAGTAAAGTTTGTGTAGGGCTTTGTGGAGCTGTAGAAATGAAGAGGACACCTGTGTGCAGGGCCTCTGTGAACTGGGCGGGGTTTGATGGGTATTATCCAGGTCCTTGTTGAATTGTTGAACTTCTTAACTTTGCCTATTGCTTGTGTTGAACTATAATAGGTGTTTGACTTGCGTAGGGATAGTTAGTTTTTTTTTTTTTTGTTTGTTTTTTTTGCGGGTGGTGAATTTAATACTCATATAACACACTAGTTTGAAGACTAATTGTCCTGTTAAGATGAGGAGAATTAATACATCTTTGTCTGTGGGATGACTCTTTGTTGAATCAAATCCTCCAAAGACGTGTTGCACCCCTGCTCCACTGCACCCCTTTTCTTATGCAAATGTATCCATCAAAGATAATTTACATCATCAGAGAAGAAGTGCTCTTTGTTTCAGCCATTCAACACTGTCGCATTTCCTTTTGTCACACTGTTGATGGCCTGTTGTTTTCCAAAATGGCGAGACCAAAATATAATGGCTCTACAAGATGAGTTTCGTATATACCCCCCAACCCCTCAGACTGGATTTGGGGATAAAGAGTTTACTTTGAGGTTAAGCGAGAAGATAAATAAATAACTGAAATGAATATTCTCAAAGCGTCAAACTCTTGAGTGGTCATCTCAGATTACTTTAAATTTAAATTCAGGCACAGGTTTCTTCTTCTTCAGGGGACAGATTAATAGCTTTTGCCCTGAAAAGGTCCATGTGCCTGATAGCAACTGTGCAGTGGAAGCGTTACCAGAGAAGTGACAGTTTACTGTTAAATTTCATGACGGTGCTCTGGTCTGTGTGTAATGCAGACTTGAAGCCTGATCATACATGTTTGTAACATGCACTCAACGCACTGTAAATCAGTTTGTATTATGTGTTATTTCTGTAAGGAAACACAATTTAGTATCTTACTTCATCGCCATCAAAATGGGCTATTTCATCCTGTTTGCAGAAAAAAGGATTATAGACAAAAATTGAATCAATAATAATCCCTTTATAATTTTTTAGGATGATATCAGGATCTCTTCCATGGTGTCTTGCAAGAGGGTTTACCTCCATTTGAGAATAACAGGTTAAAAAAACTAGCATTTCATAGTTTTTGACATGACATTAAAAATGTATTTGTTAAATAGCCTAGTTAAAATGGCTCTAATTAGCATTGGTAACCAAATATATGTTGGTGTAGGTCTTAGGACAACATGATACACAGTCAGTTGTCATGTGCAACAAAAAAAAAAAACACTGTCCAGCCTTGTTGTCTGTTATCATCTGGATTCATCAGTGTATTATGTATTTTTTATTAATGAGACATATATTTGATGCCTATAATTTGTTTTGAATGTTTTTATTTTTGTCTTTTAAGCCCGATGTCCAAGACACAAGTCAAGATATCCCTGATTTTTTTTAAAAGCAAAAAATGAATAAATGTGCTTCCCTTGTAACTTGAAGACAGAAATAAACAACAAAAAATAAATATGAACTATGTCAGTATCATGCTTCTGTGTATGACATGATGTCAGATTACATCACTGCTGAGGTTAGAAAATTAGTTGTAGTTTTTCATTTCGAAATGTCAGCTTTGTTTACCCTAATTTTCTTAGGCCTTAGGACTGATCACATACACAATGGGTTTAAAGTCATGTGCTGGGGATAAATGGTGTTAATCCAGGGAAATTCACACTAAACGATTGTAACACCTGTCTCTCATCAGTCCACTAGATGGCAGTCCTGTCTGTCTGTTTGTTTTGCAGACTGCATAAGCCTATGAGTTTCATGAGGAGGCTCACCCATAAAAATTACACCAGTTTTAGAGAAACCTTCATTTATGTTTTTACCAATTTTTCCAACACACCCAGCTTTATTCTTTATACAAGCAGAATAAAATCCTTAACCTATGAAATCACATTGCAAAGTTTTACATGACCCATATCTAATTCTACATTATTGTTGTTATGTGTGTTTTATGTCTGTGACGAGACATTTTTGACATGTCACAGTAGGAAAAGCACAGGTGTAAATAATGAAAGTAACGATGGCTGATTTTAGCTGCTCCAGTGACAGGGTCCTGGTATTGTGCATGCTGCTTCTCTGAGACACTAAAACAGAACAGAGCCATCGTTAATGTCATTAGTAACACCTGTGATTGATGACAAGACAAAATGTCTGCTGTGATAAAGGTCTGTTGGTGAGAGTTGAGTAAGTATGGAAGCTAAAGTCTGCCAGGAAAAGAATGAAAATAGATTTTAAAAAAGTTAGTCATAATAAAAATGTAGAAATTATGATGTACTATTTTATGATTTAGACTTCTGTCAAAGTCAAAGTTTCCCGGCAGATGCTTCCATAGCAAGTAATTTTCTTCACACAAAAAACTTTTAAAAGTGTCTAAGAAGCTGTAAAAAAACACCATTTTAATCCAGTTTGGGAGTTAGCTGGATTATTAAGGATATTCTTGACTTTCCATTGTACATATGGATCTGATACAGTAAAAAAGAAAACTTGATTAAATAAAAAGCAGACACAGTCCTGCATGTTGAGCTGTTGGAGTGTGATGCTCTTAAACAGACACAAGCAGACAATGATCTTATGAAATATTCATACTTGTGTGGCTGTGGAGCCTCTTTCTGATTATGTTCGGGTTTCCTGTTTCAACATTAGTTTAATCATTAATGCAGATTAAGCTTTTGACCACTGTGATTATTTTCTCGAGAAACTCATTCTTATAGCGTTAAGGTAAAACAATTATTAATGGAATATTATATAATAGTTATATAATATGTCAATTAAAAGGTATTTTGGACGAATGGCTGAATGAGGGTAGTTTTCTGTTTTTAAGCTCTGATTAGAAGAAAATCTGCAGAGAATGACCGCAAAATGATGAAAAAGGGACACAAAACAAACACAAAACAACTGCAGAGCTGTAAAATGACCAGAGACACAGAAATACAAGAGACACAAAACCACCAAACATGGTCTGGGGGGCTTTTACACCTCTGTGCCCAGAGTCCCATCCTTTCGTGATCCGTCCATGTCTACAGCATGAGCATACAGTAACTCATTTTAGTCCAACACTAACTATACTGTGGTATGACATACAGCAGCCGGCTAATTATTGCCAGTGTTATTTTAAAGATAAACTCGTAGCAGTGAGCGGAACTTCGTTTTTTAGTTCACCAACTATGTACAATTCGCCAATAACGGAGAGAAATGAGTAATGATTAGTTTCATGAGAAATAAAAAATGGATATGGTCTGTTTTTTTAATAACGTCCGGTCTGTGATGAGTAAAGTTATGTGAGAGTAACGCGAGCAGCAGGAGAAGCAGAGGGCGAGGAGCCGCTGCTGACCGGCTGCGCCTCCTTCATAATGTATGGAGAGGACAAAGGGCGAAAGGGTGGATTTCAGCGTCAACTTTGAAAGAGCCGTAACCCAAACCTGTCCTGTCCCACTCTGACGGATTCACATCAGCTGAAAGGATGATGCCTCTTTTTCCACCTGCAATCTGTCTAATAATCACCGACAGCAGGTAAATGAGCCCTGGAGGGACCTTTGGGTGCCCGTATATAAAGAGGAGCAGAGGAGGCCTGGGCTCGCAGAAACTTTCAGTCCCGCGCAGAGACAGACAGAGAGAGAGAGAGAGAGAGAGAGAGAGAGAGAGAGAGAGAGAGAGAGAGAGAAAGAGAGAGAAAGAGAGAGAGAGCGGATCTGGCTGCAGCTGGATGCCACACCCGGTGGATGCTGGTAGGTCGGCTGTCTGTTAACAAACATCAGGGTTTTATTATGTAGTATGTAAAGAGTTTAGTCGGACTGACAGATGATTAGAAATGGAGCATGGTTATTGAAAGCTACAGTTTACCTTCTTTTCGTCTAACAAATCTGTTTTTATTTCAGGCGTATATGGCTGTTGTAATATACAATTATCTTTAATGATTCCTTTTGTATGATTCCTGGTTTTGTTTGAAACTAAAATGGGCAGCATTGAATTACCAATCAACCGGTTTTCCAGTGTCTCTCACCCTCGCCACTGCAGTGCGCGTCCTGTGCGTAAAAGGCGCAGAGGAAATGTGCTGTAGGCCTGCGTATAGAGGCGGCAGAAGGAGGGGGAGGAGGGCTGCGTGGATTACTATACTGCCAGTGGGTTAAGATGCTTACCAACTAATTACCTGTCCACTAGAAAATCCCCTGCCATGCAGCCCAAACAAGCAGGGAGCCGGGCTGGACGGAGAGATGGAGATATGAAGAGTAAATTGAAGCTGTTTGGACCAGAAGAAGTACTTAATAAAAAAGTCAGCTTTCATCCTCTTGAATGAAACAACACTGAGCAATTCTCTCATCTCTGATTCGATTAAAAGACTGTCTGGTTGTGAAGATATTCCACTGCTGGATGCTTTTGGAAGCTTGGCTCAATGAAGAAAATGAAGAGGTTTCCTCTTGTATTTTCCTAACCAAAGGGTTGTTGCAGCTGTAAGGATTCAGGAACTACTTTTTAAGGTAAGAAGCCCAATACTGCATCTGAAAAAAAAACACTTTGCCAAACACTTGGCAAAATCCTGCATAACGGTTTGATAAATGCATGCAGTCCCTACCTAAATGAGAATAACCTGGCTACCATTCATACCTTATCATAAACAGCATGTGTAAATAAAGCAGTGGGCATTCATGACCTCCAGTCCAGCTGATTGTCAACACAAGGCAAATTAAAAAAAAAAAGTTTATCTTTGAAAATGATGAGCTCATGTTTTTGTTTTAGAGATTACTGCAGATGACATAATGTAAAGATCTGGGAATGTTCTTCCGCGAACAGAATGGTCATATTACACAAGATGTTGTTGGTTTATACTTCACTAGAGCCTTGATTATACCAGCAACTGATTCTGTTGAATATATTCTAGTCTCTTCTTGAACCTGTTCTGATAGAGAGTTACATATCCTCCGTCAGACACGTATGGACTAACCAGTAAGATATGAGGGGAAACTAAAGAAATGCAAGTCAGTCCATCAACTTCTGTTTGCTTGTGATTTCTGTTTATGCTCTGTCTCTCTCTCTCCCCCTCTCTCTCTCTCTCTCAAGCTTTTTACTCTATTGATCTCTCCCGGAAACGGGAAGATGAGCCCTGCTTTGGGACCCATTTGGAGCATCTCAAAAATCACTTAGCGCATCATTCCCTACAGCCAGGATCAATCTGAGCAGCCGACCTGCTCCTTCACCAGGATCAGGATGGCTCTCATGGAGGCTAGAAATGTCCCAAAACACTAAACCTGACAATAATCTGATGATTATGAGTAATTTTAGAAGGATATAACTACAGCTCTAAGTCTGTGAAGATTTTCTTAAAGAATGTGCGTGAATGTGGAAATAAGCACAGGCAGGTCTGACCCAGCAGCAGATGGCACGGCTGGATTTACTCTCCATCCTGTGAGGTAAACAGAGCAGACATGAGGGAAGGACACCGCTGGTTATGATAGTGTCTGCTCATTTCCATCCTACACTGTTACACTGTTCAGAGAAGATCCCTCCAACTTAAAACTGGTCAGCAGACAGAAAAGTAGAACCTGAGCACGAAGAAGCAAGCAGGATGCCAAGACACATGTTTGAAAGGAAAAAGATGTTCGGGGTTTAAAGTTCTGGTAGCACTAATGTGGGCCTGCACTTATATCTCCTCCTGTTCTGTGTATGGCACTGGTAGAATTCACTGTCACAGCACACTATCAGTGAATTACCATAGGGCCATAAACAGAGTAGAGACAGAACCACACTGCCTGTGTCCATGTCCAGATTCTGCTTTAACTTTAAATGTAAAACAGCAGACAGATCTCGCTCTCAACCTCAAGAGCTGTTTCTAAAATGCTTTCCAACTTCTTTGCCCATTTTGGCACTAGCACATTTTTGCTTTGTTTCTCTTTGTTGGAGCAATCATGTGTAGTGCCAATATGGGACGAGACAGACACTCTGCTGTTCATAAATATTCTGGCATCTCCTGAGTTTTTCTGTGTGAAAGAGAAACACACAGAGAGGAGAGGAGAGGAGAGGAGAGGGATGGACGATGATTCTGATCGATTACGCCCTCCCTCTCAGATATCACCGGTTGCCATGGAAGCCCGTGTTCCATCTCTGAGACGCCATCCTGTGTAACCTGAACCCCAGTTGTCACAAAGATCTGGTGGTGGTGACCGGCGCACTCTCCAACAGTGTTTGGCAATGGTAGAACTCACTCTGGTGGGCTGGAAGGATCCGGTGGTTCTAGACTTGCCAACAACTGACCGAGAGCTTTTACCAGTCGCCCCTCCACCGTCATCCCAGGACTCCTCACAGGAAGAGGATTACTTTATGTTTAGATGATATAAATGAGTCATTTTATCCTCCACTACAGGTCTGGGTGTTACAAAATGTCTGGGGTGGGAGGTTTCGGGGTGTGGGTGTGGGTGTGGACGCTGGGTTTGTGACTGACTGCAGGCGGAGCAATGAGAGTTAAAATTGAACCCACCCCCCCTCAGATGTTTGATGTCCCTTCAGGGTCATTTTGGCCACACTTAGCTGATCATGACATCAAACTGTGAGTGTAATCTTAGACCTCAAACACTGAAGCTATGGACCAAAGGAGCCCTTTGACTATTGGGCCATAACCCATAGATCCATACACAGACCATTAAGCACTGAGTTGACTATCATCTGCCCTAATCAATAAATCAATGGTGTTCATGTGGTGGGCTGAGAAACCAGAAGATGAAGGCCTGTGGTTGTAAATCCTCAGTGTTGGCGTTAGCAGCAGCGGCAGCAGCTAGCTCAGCGTATGGTGCAACCTGATCTTGCTCAGTCACAAAACGTCTGAGTTGAGGCGCTGAAGAGGTTTAACACAAGTGATGTTAGCGCTGCATCAAACCTTTAAACCCCACAGACACTTTGGTAAATGCATCATCATGAACTCCTGGTGTCTGTATTAGTATTTGTCAAACCTACAGTACTTCACAGGGTGGTAACTGCCACCGAGGTCACGTCTTCTGTGTTGTTTCTGGGAATTTTAAGGGCTTTAATGACCTGATGAGAATAATTAAACACAAATAACTGATGATGAGTTTTTATAGCCTAATTCTGAGTCAATTATCGAGTTAAAATTCTAACGTTTGACTGTTTTAGGCCTAAAGAATATTACAGTAAATACAAAAGTTTAATTCCCGGTGTTAGGCTTAGAAACAGAATTAAGACAATCCTGCAGGGAGATAAAATTTGCAAAAAATATATTTGAATGGTTAAATATTGAAAATATATGAAAAGAAACACTTTTTGGGGTCAAAATTGGGGCTGCTCGGTGGTACTTCAGACCTCGGTGTTTTTCTAAAATCCTCGCTACAGCACTGGTGTTATGTCAGGCAGTAATACAATAAAATGTGTATAAAATGATCCACTGAGACATGTAGAATTTGTCTTTGGATGCAATGCAGTCTATAAAGTTTTTATCTTGGATTAAATGTATCAGTTCTTATAAGTGCTTTAGCTCAACTGAAACAAACACAGAATAATTTGATCTAAGTGTAACAATGTGAAAAAATGATGATTCATGAATGAATGCGTGAACTTCATTGAGATGAGCGTATGAAGTCTGGTAAAAATGAAGTGATCAATGGTGGCCAGGAGGAAGACAGAAAGGAGGGATAACCGAGGATAAGACATAGACAAGAGGAAGTATATATTCAGTATATTAGCACAAATTATCTGCAGTTTTAAGAGAAGTACAGGACCAAACATAGTACTGGTACTGTATCTGTGAGGGCTTGTTAAGATGGGGCCGTCAGAGCGATCAGCGGCTGATATATGTTCATCATGTTACAGTTTGAACGCTGTGAGAATCCATTATGGCCGACTGCAGAGGATGTGAGGTTAAGTGGTGCCAGTGGACGCAGAGAGAGGAAGGAGGGAGGCCGACACACTGACAGCTGGTATGGGTGATTAGACCTTGTAGTGATGCAGAGAAGGCATCAAAGCTCTTTAGGGAGAATCCCTAACGGGCAGGAGGCAAGGACACACACACACACACACACACACGCACTAACCCCTCAATACAGGAGAATGAGTGGTGTCGTCAGATTAGATTGGGTGTGGAAGTTAATGGATCTCCTCATTAATCTCTTACACTAATGGCTGTTTAATTGCTATTGTCTCAACTGTTCCTTTGCACTGTACGTTGTTGTGTTACTTGTCCGTTGCATTAAAGATATTTCACACTAATCTCAACAGCATGGTGTTTGTCAATTCGTGTGGGATTAGTTCACAATACAGACAACTGCTTCAGAGAGGTGATGAAAAGTGACCTAGAAGTGAAACAGACCGCCAACTCTTCTGGTGAAAAATGAGCTTCAAACACTGATAATTTATTGGTGAGCTGATTCAGTTATTGTTAGTGCAGTGAAGAAAGAGTCAAGGAATGAGACGATTGAGGTAAATTAGAAAACTAATATGAGAGAGGAAGGAGGAGGAGGAAGAGAGACTGGTTGCATTAGCATTAGTGACTCACCTTTAGTCTGTAGTCCCAGAGAAACACAGTGTACTTTTCAGTAGGGATCTTCAGCCAGGCCATGTCTTGGCACACACACACACACACACACACATGAACACAGGTAGGCGCTGGATTACAGTAATCCAGGAACAGGGGGGTATTTTTAGTACTTCATGATCAGAGATAGACAGGATGCAACAATTGAGGAAAACAGATAATGATTGTTATATGACCAGCTGGATTTTCGTGGAACAGGGTTAATTACGTAGCGTCTAGCAGGAACCAAAACTAATGCTGACTGCTCATTCTGCGAGTAAAGCTACTGTTAGTGTCAGAAGATATTTGTGAACTGATACGAAAACAAAACACTACTTTAAATTGCTCCAGCACTTCCTGAATTAGTATTGAAAGGAATTTTCAATGTAATGCTTGAGACGGTAAGGCACTGAAATAAAGATATGACATTATGATATGAAAGAAACTAATATTTATCAAATTATTTTATTAGATAGATTACATTACCTTTAAAAAATATTTAAACTGGTTAAATACATTGTCAACCAAGTCTTATAGCACATCTCCACCACAACAGTCACAGAGACAGGGTCTTTGCCACAAATTTCTCCAGTATCATCCATCATAATTATGTGTCACATATTTTTCTTTAATTTGTCCATTGCACATCAGAATAATGAGGAATGGCTTTATAATAATAAGTATATTATGATGAATTTAACAGTATTTTGGACATGGGCGGTATGTGGATACTGTTAACAACTCTACACTCACTATTAAAAGTCATATTTCTTACCAAAGCTCTGAACATGTGTCATCATAAAGAAGACAATGTTATGTTTGTATGTAGAGGACCCCACACAAATAGATGATAAATTTCATTATCTATCTCCTAATTAACAGATTAACAGACCCAGACTCTGTCCACTTGCCACTGGATTTAGCTTTTATCTCAGTGCTCAGCAAAAAGACTGTGATGTGTGTGTGTGTGTGTGTGTGTGTGTGTGTGTGTCTGTATTTCTGTCTATCTCTGTGAGTGGACAAACTACAGTTTAAAACCATCATCCATCAACTCTAAATGACTGTTTGAGGGTTCAGGTTAAAATAGGCATTTATTTGTGAGGGTTAGGGTTTGGGTACGGGGTAAGGGGTAAGGGAATACATTGTGTCAACAAGTGTCCTCACAAGTAGGTGCGAGTTGATTCAGGATAGAAGGATAGAAGCACTGAGGCCTTTTATAGAAAGTATGACTATTGCTAGTATCACCTAAAGTCAATAATAAATCTCTTACGCCCCCTAGTGGGTAAAAAATGTCACATCAACAAGCAGGCCCAGCTGGTGAGCTTTGCCATTAGTCTTTGTTTAATGGGAAACTAGGGATACATCTGTATGTACAGGGTTGTGTGGTTGTATAAGTGTGAGTGTGAGTCTGACACCAAACAAACAAAAATACTGTAACATTTTCCAAATTTAAAATGCCTTCTTATTTTTGTCATATTAAAATTATGAGACAGAAACACTTTGAAAAAGAGCAAAACTGTTCTTTTTATTATATCTTGAGACTCTAGTACAATTATCTTTTAGAGCGTTAATTCAATGACAATATGTTCTAGCCTTACTTTATGTTCATGGTCCACTGTTGCCTCAACTGTGCCTCAGAACAGCAGCAGCACTGTCTCTGCAGGTCATCAGCTCACTATGTGGGATTTATACGTCAAATATCTGATTGTGAAGTACATCTGTTCAAATTTTCAATGGGCTGTTGGTAGACTTCAGTTTAGGTTACTAAGTAAAAGTGGCAATGTTAGATTTAAATCAAGGGCATGAGACAGCAGATGAACTGTGCTGCAACTTGTAGTCTACACGTGATTGCTGCTCCAGGGAATAAATGGTGTTGTTTTATCAAGCAGAAGAGTGAAAAATTAAAACATTCAGCACTTTGTTTTTCTTTCCATATTTCAGTCAACTCAGAAATAGCTGTGATTACATTCCACACGTACAACCGCACATACACAGACAAAGAAGTGAACATGAGTCATCATCTGCTGTCTCAGTGATATTCAGACTGTAGAGGGCGTCAGAGGTTTTTCCAAAATAAAATCCACAACATCACATCTGAGGAGCTTCTGTCCTTCAGCGCTACATCCAGAAGTTAATACCTATTTGAAGAATTGCGTTTTGTTAAATAGAAAAAGTCAGATGTGCGTATCGTTTGTGTGTGAGAACAGTGTCAAGTGTCTTCACCTGTAGTAGTTGGGTTTGAAGGGACCGTGTTTGCTGATGCCCAGGTACTTGGCCTGATCATCATTCAGCTCTGTGAGGTGAGCATCAAACGTCGACAGGTGAAGACTGGCCACATATTCATCTGAAAATTTAGACTTTTAGGCTTTATCATTTTAAAATCTACCTTTTGACTGTATTGATCAGGAGAACAATAAAGGTAATGTTTATTTTAGGGTATTTAAGCAGAGGACTTGCCCATTTTCTTTGGCAGCAGGTAGACGTCCTGTTTGTATCGTCCCTCCGGAGCGTTGTACAGCTCTATGAGAGCCAGTGCCTGAAACACAACAGTCAAAGTCTCTGTTAACACAAGTAAAGGTGACCAGTCTCAAAATAGCAGGGGTACTGACACTTAACATATCACCATACCTGAGTTGCAGCGGTGATGGAGAGGACAAATGACGGCACTGTGGAGCAGCTCAGATTCAGCAAACGGCCCTAAGAGAAAAATCAAAAACTGAAATGACATACTGACATAATAATGTGACAGCAGCCACTGATCATAATCTACGGACATCTGAATGTGTCTTATGTCAAATAATTATGTACAATAAAGTTTGAGTGTTGGTATCCCTCTGTCTCTCCTGATGCACACCTGAGCCAGTTTAACAATGTTCAGGTAAATCTCTTCCTGCTGCTCAGCTCCTCAGCGGTAACCCCTTCAACCACACAGGGCAACAATATGGGAAACACTGTTTGAGGGTGAAACAGATTTCAACAAAAGACACTGTTCTGTCTCCCCTCGCACACATGAACAGAGCAGAGCCATCGCTAATGTTGTGAGTAACACTCACGCTCATTTAGATCACATTTCATCCTCCCAGCAATAAGGTTTTGGTGCTTATTTGAAAGTATTCATCAATCATCACTGATGACACTAAACGCTACCTGAAATATCTAGCATATTTTTATTAAACTGGTTGTTACTTAAGTATTCAAGTAAAGACTTCAGATCTAATTATTGTTATCAATCTTGATAACAATAACTCTTTTAATTTAGCAGGTACATTAGCGTATAAGGTAGCTCCCTATAATAGGCCAAATATATAATAAATGTAAACTGTCCAAATTCTTTGCATCCATTTGTTTCAAATTAAAATGCTAAAAACAAAAGATTTAAACAATAAGTATTTACAACACAGTCTGTGCACCTTGATTCCTAACACCTAGCAGCTCTTCCCGGTAGAATATCCACACCATCAGCATTGAAAATAGTTTCTGTAGCTTGCGCTTGACTTGTAATAATCTAAATTCAATATTTCACCTCAAGTGATGAATGTGTTTTTTAAGTAGCTGTGTATTAAACAGGATAATGTGCAGAGAGCCAGTCAATAGAGCAGCATGAGTCTCTTCAGGGCTACATTTAACAGTAAATGTGTTTCTGTACATTATCCCTTGGTAGCGGGGTATAATAATAGTAATGATATTAACAATAATAACAGCATCATCACCTCAGCCAGCAGGACAATTCTCTTGCCGTCAGGCCAGATAACATGGTCCACCTGAGGCCTCACACGCTCCCACCTCAGGTCTGCAGTCCGCAGACTCACCTAACAAGCAAGAGTCTATATTTTACACACACAAGCATACACATATAGAGGTCTGTACACACATAAGCAACATGCAGACACACACACATATACACACACACACACACAACACCACACCATATCTATCTCAGTGTTGGAGTGTCCCATGTTGCACAGTATGCAGCCGTTCTTCATTCTGTCCATATGTTCCCTCCCCACCACGTTTTTATTGCCTGCAGAGAAATAAAAAATTAAATTAAATCCAATTGAAACAAACAATAATTTGGTCTCTCATTCTCAATAAGACAATTCATTGTTAGAAGGACAGCAGTTACCTGTGCAGGTGATGACCACATCCACCTGTCTGACCACCTCACTCAGGTTAATCACTCTGAAGCCGTCCATGCTAAGAGGAGCAGGGGATGAGAGAATGGAGTTCAGATTTTTACAATGAGCTTCTGGGAGGAGGAGAACACACTAAACACATGTGCTGATACAAGCTTCTTCCACTCATACCAGGCCTGAAGGGCACAAATGGGATCCGCCTCTGTGACGTACACAACAGCACCCAACGCTTTCAAGGCAGCGCAGCAACCTTTGCCGACCTACAAGGAGAAAGAAAAGAGGTTGGTAGAGTTGCTTAAGTTGAATCTCTCTTTTTTAAAGACACATGTTTCACCGAAGCACTTTTTACTGACCTCACCATATCCGCACACCACCACCTGCTTTCCTCCAAACATGACATCAGTGGTCCGTTTCAACCTGAAAGAAGAGTTCAGCACGGTCAGGTCACTGCTCTGTGCTGCATAAATGTTTTTACTTGTGTACCATCACAACATGGTTCATCACCCGTCCAGTATGGACTCCTTGCAGCAGTAGAGGTTGTCAAATTTCTGCTTGGTCACCGAGTCGTTAACATTCATGGCAGGGACACACAGCCTGCCTGCCTTGGACAGCTGGTACAACCTGAAACAAGAGTCGAGAGAGACACATGTGAGCTGGAGAATCATTTGTATAGCATTTGTAGAAAGATCGGAGTTTTGTGTGAAACCGACCGATAGACGCCAGTGACACTTTCCTCCACGATGCCTTTCATCTTCTTGAATAGGCTCGGGTACTTCTTATAGATCCAGTGGGTCAGGTCACCTCCATCATCCAGAATCTTATAAGAGTGATAAAGACAGATACACTCTCCATCACCACAGTTCTTGTAGCTGTGACTCTTAAACACAATGACGTGGTGGTCAAACTAAAGTTCACAGTTCACCCAAACATAATAGAATATATTATAAAAGGACAGTCAATAGTTTCAGTTTGAATTGCTGAGATTTCAGTCATGCACTGCCAAGAGGGAGCCTTCTCTGAGATTCCATACTGCTCTCAGAAACCTATGGATGACGTCACGGAGACTACGTCCATCTTTATTTACAGTCTTGATTTTTACTTTACTTTAGACGTATCAAGCACCACCAGTCAAATGCCATTAAACTTATGTCTCAAATAGAATAGTTTACGCCTTGGGTAAAAATTTGATCAAAAGTTTAATTCAATTTTTGATTGAACAGTCTTTCTGATAAAAAAAATAGTTGCACAGTGGTGTTATTGTTTGATATACTTTACAATACCATGTTGGGCTGCCAGCTCTCAGCACCAACACATCGGTCAATGCACCACCAGAAGTCGTCCTCCGATTCTCCTCTCCACGCAAACACTGAGATGCCTTGGAGGGAATGAAAGATAAAGAGCATGTCAAGGTCAAAAAAGAAAGTACAGAAGGACAAAAAAGATGGAGGAGGATGAGCTGGTACACAGCTGGTTTTACCTCCTTCAGCCAGAGCCGCAGCAACAGCATTCTGAGTGGAGAAGATGTTACATGCTGCCCAGCGACACTGAGCCCCCAACACACACAGAGTCTCAATCAACACCTGCAGGAGACCAACACATTCAGAGTCAACAGGATGTATGTGAAACTTCTGAAAATGTTATTCTATTATTTGTAATACAGATAAGAAAAGATTAATGAAGTGCAGAAAAATGTAAAAATTACCATCCATTAATTACCTCCCACTTCAACACTCTGATAAGAACTTTATCTTTGTCTTAAATAATCAGACACAGCCAGGCTGTGTCTGTTGCACTCACTAAACCACTGTCGGTGCTTTTTAGTTTGATTGTGTGTGTTGAACTGACCGCTGTCTGTGCAGTGATGTGGGTACAGCCCACCACTTTGGCTCCAGCCAGAGGTTTCTCCCCACTAGCTCGTTTCCTCAGGACCATCAGTGCTGGCATTTCTAAGTGTCACAGACAGTGACCAAGTGACAATCAGCATGAGGACAGACATCATGAATGAATACGTCTTATATGTATCACTTAATGTTCTCATTTTATCTCTTCTTCTCGTGTGTTACTTTTCTTCTACAGTGTCTCGAGATGTATGCTACATAAATCATATACATTTATCAGTTGTGAAGACAATAAACAGAAGTTTGAGGACAGAGGTTTTACCTTGCTGTGCCATTTCTATTTCCCTGCGCCCAAAATCAGCCTGCTTGATGTTTTTGATGCAGAAGTCAGAGAGGCCCTTGGAGGTCTTCTGAAGCTTGTCTTTAGGAGAAGACTCATCCTCAGAGCTGTCACTGCACACTGCAACACAGAAATTAGGCATTGTGTATAAAATAAATCAGCTGATATAATATCCGCGAACAAACATGGTTAAAGCAATAGAGAGACACGTGATTTGTTGGAAAGCTTTACAGATATGAATTGGCTCTTGTTTTGTTGTTTCTGATACCATTTTTGGAGTCAGCCTTCAACTAGGTGGGTCTTTTATCTGACTCTTTGAAGTCTGCATAAACTCTGGCAGTGACTGACATGTTGGAGTAAGGCTCACAGAGCCGATTAGGACCAAATTAAAGAGACTTAATTCTTCTGAAGACTTTTCCTTTTAATTAAGGTTTAGCTGAAGGAGAAAGCACCGAGGCTAATCCTCAGTGCCTGTAGTTCTCGTGCTGCTGGGACCATAACCACTTCAGTTTAAATATCAAAGACATGTGATCAGACTTAAGAGTGTGCGTTTGCATGTTTCCTTACCTGAACTGTAGCTATCTGTCGACGACTGTGAGATGGACCGAGACAGAGAGCGACGACCTGTCTTGGTAGGACGTTTGTTGAATTCCTGCTTCTGGTCGGTGAACTGTATTTGCTGTGGAGACACAAATGCACAAAATAGACGAGATGAGGAAGAGGCAGGTCACAGGCATAGAGTCTCATCAAAGTCAAGCTTGAAACAGACAGACCTGATGCAGACATAATGATGCCAAATTTACACATAAGCACCGCACATCACAGCAGTTCCTTGTAAACTGCCAGCATCTCTTTCACAGCCTGTCACTGTCACACATACTGTCTAGTGCCTGTTCGTGTCCTGACTCATCTCTGTATCTGTTGCTGTCTCACCGTCCAGTGTGGCTGTCTGAAGGCTGGGCTGCTGCCACACGAATCCCACTTGGCCATGTTTGCTTCCTGGCAGCTAAATCTGACTCTGCTGCCTGAGCCTGAGCTGCAAAAAAAAAAAAAAAAAAAAAAAAAAACCCATGCACCACAAGCTTACTGAGGGCTTATTCCTTACGTGATCACACCCACCAACCCAGAAACACCCCCACACTGACCACACCTCCAAAAAATACACATGAGTGTTTGAAGCTCTAGGGCTGTGAGTTTGTGCACGGAGCTGCAGTGTACTGCAGATCAAACATACTCCTGTACGCATACACACCGTTGGATCAAATCTTAAATGCATTTAATTAAAGGGGCACTCCACTGATTTTACATATAAATGTGGGTTTACTCACAGGGAGCACTACCCAGTTGGTGAAAACAGTTGTACAATCCTCCTGTGGTTCTGGATGAAATTTGTCAAAAGAAAATCACCCTAGTGATCATGGCGATGTCATCAGGGAGTTGTTGCAGCCTGGGCTCTGAGACAAATTGTAACACAAAGCTTTATTTACAAACTTGGGCATGTAGTTTGAAAGATGTGGGATTTACTAGTTAGGAATAATGAAAGATTCTATTGAATTGCATTTAAGGAAATGTGGGATCAGTGTAGGATTTTTTGGTAGTTTGACTGATACCTGGGAGTAGTCAGTCAGTATGCTGCACAGATTTTGACCATTTTGGTCCATTGCCCCAGCTTTATGAAAGTGCAATGGTACATGTATTTGGTGGAGTAACCCTTAAAGAGATGCAAAGTGTAGGTGCTGTCTGTTGGTCCTCTCTTCTACCCCTCTGCTGTATTGTGACCTCTACAAAAGGTCATCATGAGTCTTTCCTCAGTTGTCAGTTCATATGTAAGTGCACTGAAAAAGCGAAGTCAGTTTTAGAATACAGATGGATTCAGGGTGGCAAAAATGCAAAGCTAGGGCTGAGTGACATGGAAAAAATAAGAAGAAGATAACAAGTTGACCTTGTTCCAGTTTCAACAAGGTTTGAATTAAAACTCAAATGCAGTAACAAATCCGTTATTAGACGTTTATCCCACAACTCGAACTGAAACTGTCGTCTGACATTTCCAGGTTTTTCAGAAATAACTCTTGCAGTAAGCTTTCTACTCATAGCTAATGACATTCATTACACTTGCATTAGTACAGTAAGTGGGGAGAGGCATCAGTATCAGTAAAGATTAAGTGTGGCATCTTTCATGTGATGCTGCTGCTCAAACTGAGCCCTCAAATCCTCGTTAGGAGCAATTAAACCTGAGACCTGTGAATATGTGAAGTGAGGATCCCTGTGGTTTTTTCAGCACTTTGTTTTCCTCTGACTTGAGTTAGATGATTTATTATCTTATCACCATCACAAAGGGGCATCCTGGTGGCCTATAGGGTTTAAGACACTGACAGTCAGTTGCAACGGAGATCCCCAGTCACACATACATACACCTTCACTTCATCATCAACATGTTTCATATGAATAAATCACAGTTTTGTTTTCCTTATAATCCTCCTGATTTAAAACATAAAGGAGCACAACATGCTTCACTTAGATTGGCTGACAGTTGTTTCAAGTCACTTTCTTTTGGCAAGTAAAAATCTAAATCAATTAACTTTGTTGAACTTGTTGATGTAATCTGTATAAAATAAATCCTCAATGTAAGTAAAAAAAAAAAGAGCAAATAAAAAAGTAATATCAACACGCCTGGAGTTCAAATAAAACAATATTTTCATGCACTGGTGCCTCTCCAAAGGCAAACTGGTGTAAAATTTAACTGTTTTCACTCGGAGTAATGATCACTTGAATGCCATTTTTTTGAGTGCAGCTGGCAGTTACTCAAGCAGCTGCTTAATCTTCAACACAAAAAGACATTAAGGTGTGACTGGGAGCAGTGTGAATGTTAACTTAATGGTCACAAAACTGTCTCTTACAGGGATCAGAAAATAAGTTTGAATTTAGGCCAACTACTGAAGTTGCTACTGGGAGTGCAATGAAAGCCAATAATTATTTCAAAGTTTCTGTGAAAAAAAACAATCTTTTGGGAGACCATTTGTGCATTGATTTGCTTGAAACATTCCAAATGGTGCATTCCCTCTCTTACATTTCTTCTCTGCTCTCAGAGAAGACAAGAAAATTCACAGTTGACATAGTTTAAAAAAAAGCAAGCATGGGGCGTCGAGTGGCGTAGTGGTCTAAGCAGGCACCCCATGTGTAGAGGCTACAGTCCTCGCTGCAATTGGCCCCGGTTCAAGTCCTGCATCGGACGGCCCCTGCTGCATGTCATTCCCCCTCTCTCTGCCTCCCCATTTCCTGTCTCTCTCTACTGCACTATCAAATAAAGGCATAAAAAGCCCAAAAAATATACTTAAAAAAAAGCAAGCATAAAGGATTATTTTTCAAGTTTGTTAAGTTAAGTTTGTTTGTCAAGTTATTCCTGAAGAAGACCTGACTCACTGCCCTTCAAAAGAAAAACATAGAGCATAACAAAGCAAATGCAATGATACCTTGATACAGATGGACTGCACTGCCTCCTGGTCCTTGGCTTTAGTTATGTTCACTAGACTGTATACTTTCTTCATGCTGGCAGAGCGCTCCCACAGTGACCCTCAACAACCCTGCAGAGCTGCAAGCTGATGCAGTTTCACTGAATGCAGAGTTCACACAGTGGTGCTTTATGCCACACCCTCGTCCAACAGGCCCAGGTGACAGGTGGAGAGAGGACAGAGAGAGGAAAGTGGAAATAAATAGAGTCTTTGTGAGACTTACAGAGGGGAATTCTGGGAAAATATAGAGAAGAGAGACAGGTTAGAGATGGAAAGACGTAAGAGAGTTGTGAGGAAAGATAAGCTCAGTCAAGTTTCACTGGAGGCCACGGATTAATGTGTACAGTAAAGTGCACTCTGCTCTCAGGGTATGCATTCAACAGACAGCAGAGAGATGTACTTACATGACCATACATTCATTTGTTAGTGAGAGAAAAGAAGAGGGCCCTATAGCGACAGAAGAAGAAGCCTTGTTGCTGCGTTCAGGGACACAGGGCAGCTTAGGTTTCTCTTCATAAATCAGACAATGGAGCTGGAGTTTACTGTTTGCTGTCCGCTAAATGACCACGCAGCTCTGCAATGACACTCTTAAAGGGCACCACACTGATTTTACACATGTTGGTCAGTTTACCCATCCCATCATGGAAAGTACCACACAGCCTGTAAAAAACAGTTGCATAATGTCTTTGTGGCTCTAGAGGTGGCTTTGTAAAGTCAGATAAAAAAGACCACAGATAATGTCATAGTGGTGTCATCCGGGTTATCTTAGTTTGGGCTGAGGAAGTCAATTTTATGATGTTGATCATTCTATTTTCAATCTGTCTCCTAGAAACTTAAATGAAATGTGATACTGATCACTGTTATTGTTAAGGTAGCATTGTACTCCTATAACATTGTTAGACTCATGATGGACAGTTTAAAAAGGACCAAAATATATACAGCAGAACCAGATATATTGTGGGGTTTTTTTCCCCAAACATTCTTCTTTCGTGTTAAAAACTGGTGCCTACATTACCCACAATGTAACTCGACTTAAATCCCTCATTTGGAGATATGGTTGTTTTTTCTTTTTTTCTTCAGAGCCAACCAACAGTGACTCAAGTGACATCATTTAGGGCAATATCAAATTCGCAGCTCTGACCAAAACCACAAAAGACTTTATACACCTTGTTTTTTCCACATATGGAGCAGCGCTCCCCAAGACCTGAAAACAGACTTGAAAACAGAGTTCCCCTTTCAGTCTCTTTCAGAGAGACAAAATGGGTGTGTGGGTGTGCTGGTCATTCATTGCTAGAGGCCTGCGCATTGCAACTAAAATCATTAACAGCCTGAGTATATGCAGGTTCACGCTGCCTGTGGCATCAGTAAGAGTGTCCTTGCTCACCATGTCGGTCTTCAGAGCTTCAGTAACCAGCTCTCCTGTCCCAGAAGCCTCTGCCTCGTCTCTGTCCCGACCCTGAGGAGTGCACCTGCTCTCTGCTGCTTTTAGCATCTGCAGCAGGTTCGGGCTGCATTTTGCTCCCTGATCTTTGGTGCTTTCCTCTGTTGTACCAGACGCATCCCCCTCTACCCCTCCATTCAGCACAGATCCGTCCTCCATATGTGGTTCGGGATAATCATCAGGTAGTGGCAGGTGCTCCCAGGACACTGTCTGGTCCTTCTCCTCTGCCATGATTCCTCTGGCAGCCAGCAATGAAGTGAATTAGATTCCTGCTCAGGTGACAGTTCAGCCATATGCTGCCCACATACATCTGATATGTGCATGTGTTTACTCTAAACAGCAGCAGTTCTTGGGTTACTTTGACTAAATGTAAAATGGGTAATTAGTCATGGATGTAGTGTGTACAGGGTAAACACTGATGTGAGCACTGTGCTCTGCCTCAGTGGGAAATGTAACCTGGAAATGTAGGAATGTAACTCCTGCTGCTGAAGTGCCATGTTTGTAGACGTCAGTGTGGACCCCAAAACAGTCTCTGGTACTGGAAGTTTCTCCTGTTTATACCAAAAAGAAGCACTTAATGTATTTAGACTTGTGGAGCCACTTCTTGTTTTTGTGTTGTCTTTGATAACACTGGATAACAAAGACATGAATGCAACACAAACCAAGGGTGACATTATAAACAAACAGGCATGGTGACATGTTTACAGAAAATAGTGGCCCGATGGTGACCAACCAGCCCCCCCCTCACAAGTATGATGCCAGGCTAAAAGACAAGTGTGCCAAGCAGAATGGCTGCTGCTAGTATGCACAACTATATCATTATTCACACCGCAGTTATAGGCAGAACTGCTGTGCCCTCAAATAGACAGATGTAGTTTTCAGGCTAGAAATAAACAATGCTATGGATTTGAGCATGGTTATCTGAGTGCATGATAAAAAACTGTGAGATTCTTTCAAATCTGTCTTGAAACAACATTCAGGTGCCCATATGTACACTGAAAATGTGTAAATCCTTGTTTTGTGTGAAAATGTAGTCACGTTGTCACTGGACAGTGTTTTCCCGTCATACTGGGTGTACAGTAGCAAAAAGAGAAGTTTGTACCAAAAGGACGGATATCCTCTTGGTTTGTTTAACTGCTGTAGCCATTATAAAACCAGCATTTGTTGGTTTATGTGATTGGATGCATTTCCATGTGTGTGATAGCGGATCTGCTCTTGCAGTCAGTTTTTGAAAAGTTCTCCTTCACAGTGTTACACACACAACAAGTATTTCACAAATGTTGCAACTGATGTTGTAACAGTGCAAACACACTTAGTTAAAGTTTGCAGGTTTCTTCCAGTGAGCGTTCAGGTGCAGGAGTATCAATAGATTTGCTTTATCTTCCACTAGAGGGTGCAACAGTTCCACAGTCTTTACTTTTCTCTCTCAGAGCAAAGACTGTGGGATGATTTCAGTTTGGTTCCTCTCTGTTTCTGTGTCTGACGGGAACCAGGAGAGGTTCATGACACCCGGTCCCAAGGGAGGAGCATGGGAAAGAGATACTGTCCAATCCTCCCTCTCTCTCTCTCTCTCTCTCTCTCTCTCTCTCTCTCTCTCTGGCCAAATCTTTCTCTGATACTCATTTCTATTCAGTGCAGGAATTTCAGCCTCTGGTGTTAAATTGGGAGCGGTATAAAAATGTCCCTGACGTGAGGTTTTCACTAGGTCCCTTTAAATGGTTAATTTTTAGGCTAATATTTAAGAAAATTGTGTCCACCTGACCTGCCTGTCTTTTGACTGTGGAGGGAAACTACAGGCGCATCCACAGCAGTGTATGTCATATATGTTCTTAGTGTTTTAAAAAAAAAACTGAATCTTTGATGTCTCTGCTGTGAAGCATCTTTATTCTTGTTTAGGACTGTGGTTACATAAGAGACTCTGAACGTCTATTTTACCAGATTAATCCTGAGCACATATGAGACGGTTTCTGACAATGAAAACTGATACCAAACGAAATGTCCTGACATGAAGTCTTTTATTTAGAGAAAATGTGTTAATATGTGAAGAAAGACAAGAAGATATGGACAAATCTTACACTTAGGCTCATTTCACAACAACATGGATTACAGATGTTATTATATGACTGAGTAAATTTACAACGTGCAGACACACACGCGCGCACACACACACACACACACACAATCATGCACAAGCATCAGATTGCATTTGCTGATACTTATTTTTCTTTCTTAGTTGAAACCGATTTTTCGGTTTGATTGATTTTCATTTTTTCTGTTTCACAGCTCAGTGTTACTTTATGCAATAACATAGCAATAATACGGTGTATATCAATAATGCAGTTCATCTTCTTTTTCATTGTAGACCTACAATTTTATCACATTAACCACACTTTTAATGCTGGGGTAAAAACAGGTTGCATATTCAACAACGTACTGCAAAAGCTCATGTAGAAGGAGCAAAGAGGGAAACATCCTGTCAAGGTAGTCAAATGGACTTTTTTTTTGTTTTTTTACAATAAACCTCATTCCCACCAGAACACATTGTCCAGAGCATCATAATACAATACCAGGTCTGTTTTTGAAATCATTAAAAGTTAAGTATTATTATAAATTTAAAACAGTTTTATTTTCATTGGCAGTGGTGTAGTAAGTTGAAAACAAAATGGAGTAAGTACACAATAAGAACACATCTAGTCTATATTTCAACAATGTGTTCACTCCAATATTCTCTTTATCACATTACTTTGACTCCATCACAGACTTGAGTCAGTATTTGGCCCCTCATCGTGCCGTGCGTATGTTCTTGTACTGGCACAGAAGCAGGTGCTTGAAGGTGTTTTTGAAGGTGGCGTTGCAGAGGGCGTAGCAAGCCGGGTTGATGGTGCTGTTGATGTAGCAGAGCCAGTAGCCAATGGTCCAGAGGGAGTTCGGGATGCAGATGGAACAGAAGGTGTTGATCAGGACCATCACATTGTACGGCGTCCATGTGGCAACAAAAGCAACCAGGATGGCCATGATGGTGCGCGTCACCTTTTTCTCCCTGGAGGAAATGCCCCTCTTTTTCCACTTTGCCACAGCGTTCTGCTTTGTTACCTGGAAAAGGAGAGTAGAAGAAGTGGACTCTTTTATTTATTATTTTAAAAAAAAAAATTTCTGGCCACTTGGAGGCAGTGGGGGCTCGCTCTAAACTTTTCTATCACCTTATGAAGTTGCTGTGGAAAACATGGTGTAAGAAAACAATTATCTGTTTACACATCCGGCAAATTGAGCAACATTATAATTCTTCTGGAGTCATGTTTCTGTCCACATGCAAATGTGAATCTATTATTCTCTCTTTTTAGCCTTGTTTTAGTCTCTGCCAACTCCTTAGCTACATGCTCCACTGTGTTCACCAGCTAGTCGCTAACCGTGTCTGTCTATCATCTGGTGCTGAGCTCTGGTGGTTTTAGAGCATTTTGACTGAAACCAGCTGTAAAACTGAAACAGTGAACAGTAGCCTAAAGTTTTGGCCTGAAAAACTAAAACCACCAGACTCACTGGATTCTTCTCTGGGAAACATGAATGAAAACTTAACTGCAATCCATTCAGTAGTTAAAATATTTTAGTCGTCGACTGACCAACTCACCAAGAGCTACGCTACGGGGGGCCTAAAATATTTAAAGCTGGAAATCAAGTGAAATTTGTGATTGATCATTTGTGGTGTTTGATGTTCAAACATGTGCATTTATCAGATTTACCTTAAACAGTGTCCTTGTGACCAGACTTTGCCTGTCAGCGGCTGAGTTCTCCGGGGAAGGTGGCTGTGTTTGATTGGTCTTTCTCCCGCCATTTGATGATTTCTGTGATGATGCAGGTGCAGCAGCTGTGTCTTTAGATGTTGAGGCGTGAATGCTGTCCGAGTCCAACTGGTCAGTTCCTTCTTCCTTGCAGGGGCTGTCTCCATTTGGCCGCTGCAACATTTCCTTATCCTTCCCATCTCCAGCCTCCTCCTGAGCTTCTCTTGTCGCGATGCAGTTGTTCTGGCTCCCACATCCGTCCTCCTGGCTGTGAGAGGGGCCTTCTCCGATACTCGTGCCTGATGTCTTCCTGCTGTCCCTCCTCATGCGGCTGCGGCTGGCCTTGGAGATGCGCCAGTACAGGTGGATCATGATGGCCACGGGCAGGTAAAAAGCTGCTATGGCTGTCCCAAACGTCACCGCTGGGTTGGAGAAGAACTGGATGTAGCACTCACCTGACGGCACAGTTCTCCCGCCCACAATGAATTGCCAGAACAAAATGGCTGGAGCCCACAGGATGAAGGACAAGACCCAGGCCGCCGCGATCATCAGACCCGCCATCTTGGTGCTGCGGCGTGCTGGGTAGCTGAGTGGTTTGGTGACACAGAAGTAACGGTCAAAACTAATGATGAGCAGGTTCATGACTGAGGCGTTGCTGACAACATAATCGACAGCCAACCACAGGTCACACACCACTGCTCCCAAAGGCCAGTAGCCAATCACAATGTAGACAGTGTAGAGGTTCATGGAGCAGACGCCAATAATGAGGTCTGCACAAGCCAGGCTGAACAGGAAGTAGTTGTTGACGGTCTGCAGGTTCCTGTTTACCTTTAGAGAAACAACATGGAGCAGGCTGTCAGATGCTAATCTTTTTTGCAAAATGTGATGTGTGTTTTCTCATTTCTATTAGATTAACCCTCTGCGCAGGGTTGCACATGTTGTATTCTTATCTCTAAGTCTGGGTGTGCTTTTCAGGGTGTCCAGAGATGGATGCTTGAAACACACTCATTAATCACGAATGATCAAAACGAAAAAAAACCCGAACCTTTATGGAGAGCATGACCAGAATGTTTCCAATGACAGTGATCAGACTCAGAGATCCAGCCACCAGGATGATGAGCACTATCTCCACAGTCGTGTACGGACTCCCAGAGAAGAGGCTGGCGTTATCAACACTGCTGATGTTGGTGGTGTGGGATGAATTCGGAGCCTCCATCCTGGCTCCTCTCGGATATCCTTCTCACAGATGCTTCAGGCTCGGGTCACATCTGTACAGTACATTGTAATGAAAAGGATTGCGAAAGAATCAGCTTCTTTACAGCTATTTTCATATACTTCTGATGTTGATGCAACATCTTTGCGTCTGTGTGTGCGTTTATCTGCCCACACAGTGACAGATGCAAAATCATGCGTAACTTTGAGTGTGTAAGCAGGTGGCAGGTGTTTGAGTGTTTCTGAGCTTGCGGCTTGGCCCAGGTGTGAAGGATGGACAGGTGAGTAAATAAAGGCTGTGGCAGCTGTGTTTAGAAATATACAGCACATGCTCATATCAGGAATAACACGTTGGAACTGGTTTGGAGTTTATATGTAAATCTGCACAGTGGGTGTTATCTTACATGTTAACTGACCTGGAAATCTTAATGCTGATCAAATCTGACCTGACAGGTTGACCGGGACCATGTAAAGAGGCCAGCCACACCTCCAGAGAGTCTTGAAAGCCTTGAAAGTCACAAAATGCTCCTTGAGATCATTTAATCTGTGTGATAGGCCAAATCAAAGATGTCAAGTTCTTATTTTGATCCTGCGGTTATAGAAGTCATTTCCTAAAACATATGGATATGAAATTGGTGTTGCGTGGTTTGAAAACTGGATTTTCATTTACTGAATGTGTGTGAGTGTCCATTCATGTGTCCATTTGTGCTATTGTGTGCTTGCCTGTATAAACCTCTATAGAAGCTGTGGTTTTAATGTCAAAACAGGACAGATTCTCCGAGGCTAAAGAAAGATTATCTGCAGAGTAATTTCAGCTCTCTGAGTGAGAAAAAGAAGTCTGTACACCCACTGTTTCAATGAGTGTACAGAAGGATTTCCACTGGGGCCACCCACGCAAAAAAAAAAAATCCAGGCACTCATGGTGCTGTTAGGTGCTTTGGATAAAAGCATCTGCTAAACAACATATGACATGCATATGCAGATACCTGTTCTTTTGTATTTATAATGGCTTGTGTATTCAAAATGGCCCCACGCATTCAAGTTAACCGCAAAACATCACAATTAAGGCAAAGTATCATTACCGTTACCATTATGTTAAAGAACAAGAAACATCAGGAATAGACCTACAGTATGTACACAGCATAACAATGTGATTATCTGATGTATTCTGATCAGAAAATCAATGTAAAGACACTTAGATGAGACCAGGGGGTTGTTGCATACTGCTGAAATCCTGTAAGTGACTCCATTAGACTCCACGATAACATCATACTGTACCTGAGAGATGTTTCCTTCCTGCTCTTACAGCGAAATGAAACTTCATTACAGCATCTCTAACTCTATCACTTACTCATCAAAGACCCATTTTGGGGCTTTTCTGTCACAGATGAAAAAAAGAGCTGATGTGTGTGTGCGTTAGCGACCTAGCCTCAACAGCCTGTGATTCTTCTGTTTGTTTAGAGTAGACACACACACACACATACATGTATATGTATATATATATATTTAAGATTTGGGCTAATCTAAGAATCAGGATTTAGGTGAAGTGTACTTGCATTAATCATGTGGTGTGGATGAGAGTCTGTTCACATGACAACAATGAGGGGACTCAGGCCTCAATTTTGGGAGGGAGGTAGATTACAATCAGTTTTAGGTTAAAGTTAGGTTTAGGGTTGCAGAAAGCTATGAAGCAGTATAAAGAATTAATGTAAATCAATGCAATGTCTTCCAAGCAGTGGTGGAGGACTCTAAGCCCTTGTAAAAGTAGAAATGCTACACAGTAAAGAATATTCAAGTAAAAAGTAAAACAAAATTACAGAAATATTATCAGGAACATGTACTTAAGTATCAAAAGTCAAAGTACTCATTTAAAGTGTATTAAGTATTTCAGTGTTGTAGCTTGATCAGGGCCTAATTGTACTTTGCTTTTATGTGATTTAATCTATAACAATGCATCATATTCTAAACTGATCATATGTTTTTTATATAAAAACTTCAACTTAAAAGACATGTTCACCACACCTCTGCAGCCCAGTCCTCATCTCTGCTTGAGGCTAGCATCTCGAGGCTTCATCAGCCACGACTAGCGAGACACACCTGCATCTCTGACCAAATTGTCTGCAATCGTGTTGCATTGTGGGTAATGTAGGCACCAGGAATATGCTCAGGGGGGAAAAAGATGATATCTGTGGTTCTACTGCATCGACTTTGATACTTCATCATGGGTTTTAGGAGCGCATGCTACATCAGTGGAGTACTCTTAAAATGTCAAGTAACTAGTAACCACAGTGGTACACAGTGGTACACAGTGTAGTGGCATAAAAGGGGCAATATTTTCCTCATATGAAGTAGAAATACTCAAGTACAGCTGTATTTAAATGCATCCTTTGGGTGAATGTAATTCTGCTTACTTACTGTCCACCATTATTATTGTAAGACATTTATGGACACATAGAGGGTCAGGTCTATTTAGCTGCATGTGGCTGTTTAAATGACTTTACTGCCAACCTCACATTCTCCAAAAGATGGGTTGTTAAAAGCTATCAGGACACTGAGGTTAGTATCAAATCCTACTAGTTTCCCAAGTAAATTAGCACCACGTATATTAACAAGCTGTCTAATAAGCCATAGGATGTGATGGCTGGTGAGAGGGGATCGCTGCCTGCTCACGAGTCCGTCTTCACCTCTTCCCTCCATTCACACTCTAATAAGACCCACATTACTGGACCTCCCTTGTTGTTGTTCAGGGCTACTGGACAGAGTCATGGAGGCAAACAGTATTTCTTTGACAGGCACAGAGACATGGTAATTAGATCCAGCAGATGCTGCCTGCAACAGCTGTACCGGTAATATGCTTCTAGGATATAGTGTTACTCATCTGGCAGGGTCAGCTCTGCTTTAAAAACTCTGTACTGTCTTTGATATCATGGACGATACGACAGTCGGCTACAGAGTCAGTAGTTAGCTGCAGATGAGACAGTGAAACAAGGGGCTTGTTTGCAGAGAGAAGAGGAAGTGAAAACACATCTGTGATTGCGGACATTACACAGAGTACACAGTTGCATCAAAAGAAGGATTTAACAACTACAGGCTTCAAAGTGGTTTCCTTTTTAATTGCAAAATAGATTTTTATCTCATAAATGTATTTTATTGTTTACTATGCCTTTTCAGGCCAAACTTCGGACTGGAAATCTCATCATTTTTTGATGTTTGTACAGATGGGACTTCAACTCAACCAGCAACTGCAAAGCACAAAACATACAATGTCTATCCATATGAGATAAAATTACTTTGAAAAGTGCAGCACACACACTTAGTTTGAGGCTTTGTTTGACATTTTCAAAAAATGTCAAATTTCCTGATATTATTGCACAAGTTACTGTGAGAAGTGTAAGTAAGTGATTTCAGAGGAGTGTGTCCTGATTCTGAAGAGTGGGAAATTTCACATGAACCTGAGCTTTGGCCTCACACAGCAGTGTAACAGAGAGAAGAGAAAACCACAATGTCTGTGCTGCAGTGGAGCCAGAAAAAAAAAAGGCACAAATAACCAGGGTGGAGAGGACTAAAAAATAAAACTAAAATGATGAGGCACAGAGGAGATAACTCACAAAGCAGGGAAAGATGTAAATAATAAAAATAAAAAGGGCTAAGGAAGTCCATCTCAGGGGACATGAGTAGGGAAGAGTTAATGATAAAAGATTAACAAACATAACTTGATTTCATCTTGTAGGCCTACAGTTTTCAGGGAGGAGCTGTCTGTTTCAAATCTAATTTCCCTCTTAAACACAAACACAGTGTAACCAGGGGGATTCCTCGGGAGCAGGGAGACTGGGGAATCCAGAGTCGGGATCTGATGCTGGTGGCTGAGTGAGACCTTTCAGCTCAGCACAGAAATAAAGATAAAGATTTCCAGAGCAGCCACAATACAATACAACAATAAAACCCAGTTCTATTTTACGATAAATAGAAATTTCCTCAGGAAGCTGAAACAGCATGTAGAGGGCAAAGTTTCAATCAATATATTGATGTATCACATTATATTCCTGGAATCTCCCTTTTGGTGTGTCTGAGTTTGCAGTGACATTTTTATCAATATTTTTTATGTTCCCATAATATTGATTTGAATTCTTATACTGTCCAGTTTTGTACATGACTCACACAACTGTTCTTATTTGACTTTAACATCTTTTCAATCAAGCTTTTTTTTTTAAATTTTACAGCAGAAGAAAGACTCACATGGTTACAATAATTCACACCTTGAGGGGATTTGTGTGAAATTCAAGATATGAGAAGCTTTATAGATGTGCCGAAATATAGTTGTCTTTACTGGTGCCTCAGCAAAAAGGTATTAAAATTTCTCCCGAAAGTCGGTGATCTTTAAGTCAGGGTAATTTTCTGAAAAAGTGTCCTTACCTGCAGCAGTTTGGTAGAAATCCACAGAGAAATGTTGTCTTACCTTGTCTGCAGGGAATGACATGGATGAGCTGTTTCAGTTTCGTTCATGTTCCTGTCACTTCTGTCGACACACTGGAGCAGAGAGAGAAGCAGAAAGTAACCCGACGTTGATGTTGCTCCTCCTCTGACAAGAACCAGTGTGTGTGTGTGTGTGTGTGTGTGTGTGTGTGTGTGTGTGTCGGACAGAAAAAGAGACTGACAGTCAGAGTAGGGAAGGGTTGTGGGCACTATTAGTGAGTGTTGTGTTGAATCCCTTGAGCTACGGTCGCAAATTTGAATAAACAATAGACGGAGACAGATAGAGACAGAGAGAGATGTTTGTTTCAGAACCATGGAGAGCAACTGGCCTCTCCAGCACAACCACACCATGTCCTCCTGCCCCACCAAGCTGTAGGCGATCATGTAGAGAGAAGTTTGAATGGCGGTGGCATGAAATAAAATGGTAAAGCACGATTAAAAAGAGGACAAAACAGAGGGGTCGCACTTCTATTCTCTTGCTGCAGGACGTTAACCTTTAAGACTCTGCTGTTTTGACCTTTTAACCAAACC